CCTTCCACCCTGTGAGCTGTGTTACGTATGTATTTAAATATTTGTATCAGTCGTCTAGTACTCAAACAAAATCTCTGTTTAGCTTGGGACTAAATGGCGCTATGTTAATTGCCCGGTATTATTATAAATATTTCCAAATTAGATCATTATTGTGTAGACACCTACTAAGAAAATTAGATAGGTCATTACTTATCCGAGATATCATATTGGGAACGACCGTTAATGCGTACCGTTAATGACACAGTGCGTCCCAACATCTCGTTATGCCGTTAGTACAGGGAATCATAGTTATAAACTATTATCTATAGTTTTGTAGAATTCTATAGTCAACAAGCAATGTAGTAGAAATATTATTCTACAGATATGAATGTGCTGCAGTAATGCTAAATAGATAGGTCGATTATCAATGATTTGTGTAACATAATGATGTATCCTGTTTTAAAAATAGACGCGGTCATTATTTATACGTATGATCAGTAAATTACGGGATCTTTCTACATTTTATTTTTATTGAGTTTCCGATATTTCGGCGGTGTTTCACCCGCCATGATCACGGGTAAACTGAAGAGCAGATGGTATATGGTAAATAAATCTTTTATGGGCATACATATTTGTCTACCTTCACACGTTTTCGTTTGTTGCTACTATGGAAACTCGCTCGATATTGATGTAAACTATTAATTGATTTACTTATTACGAAGGTGAAATGCGAGGCAAAGATATTTTCGTATGTAACTTTTTTTTAACATATCTGGCCTGCTTGATAATCTATAAAACAGTGGGGTGTTGGCGATAGACCTCCTTTTATATATCTATAATTTTTAACTTTCGCATTGTTGTCCTGTTAAATATACTGCTATGGATTGGTGTGTTAATTATTTATTTTACCTTAATAAAGGACATTGCCGTTATCAGCCATATTAAGGGGAAGGAGGTAAAGGGTTGAGGCAGGAATCAACTGCTTTAAAAAGATTTTAGAAATGAATTTATTCTTTTTAATTGGACCATCACCAAAGACAAGTGTCACAGCTAGTTGTCATTTAAAATATTTCATGAATGGGAGTGATTATCTAATGTTATTTACACAAGCTCGTAGGTAATAATTCATGAGTAAGCTAGAACAATACAGTTTCATTAAACTTCACGTGATATACATCAATGCGTACATATAATGTACTCTTTCATTATGACATTGTAATAAAATATACATTTGTGAATGAAGCCACAAGCTGTTCAATTGGTGGATGTAAATAACAAGAATGGATGATTGTTATATGTATATACATATACTTATTTTTACTACATCGTTGATAAGTTTTTATGTAACTTCCTTTGAAACGAGACTACTTATATATTTTTATATTTAGTGGTCGCCTAGTGTTCGAAATACAACTATAAATAATTTAAATTATAAGTATGAATGTTACACAACTCTCTTTTTATTAAGATTTGTATTTGTATATTGATCGAGCTGTATTTCACTAAAAACAAATTGAATTTGAAAAAAATTTAAGTTGTTTTCAATAATACATACTATGGACAAATAATATTAATCATTTCTTAATTTGACGATAGACTTTGACAATAAATAAAGGAGTAGGTATATATGCACGTGTATGTCAAATACATGGTTGTCTGTAATGTTTTTTATTGATTTACTGTATTTTTAATCAGAACTTAAAAAAAATTGTGCATTTCTTCTCTATATAAACTATTAGTATGAGAAATTTCATACTGCTCCGTCTGCGCAATTTTTGTATAAAAAGTTTTTACTGTTCGGAGGCATGCTTGCTAGTCTGTATTTAGAGTTAATCTAAATTGACGGCCTCAGTGCTCTAGCGGTTTACCACACCGCTTTGCTTCCGATGGTCAGGGTTCGAATGTTCACACGGTACATACATTTTTAGTCACGAATATGTTGTATGTATGTGTCTAGTACTCATAACACAAATTCCGCTTAGTTTGGGAGTAGATGGCGCTGTTATAAATATCTAGAAATTTTATTATTATTATGTAACTATTATTACTACTATGCATGCATGCATGCCATGATTAGCTTGTTGCCTAACTTCATACTAAATCTGTCATCCTCCACTATCCCGCTTGTGTACATCGTTAGTAGGTACTGCACCATACCAATATCATTCATTAAAAAAGAAAATTCTGCCTTCGAATTCGACGCCAGATTGTAGTTATTCTATAAACATAAATATGTACTTTCTAGAATGTTCACTCTTGCACAGATGGCTGTTAACAGGAGAGCGTCATAGAATCAGAATGCAACAATATGTGCAGCCAATTGAACTTCAATTTACCCGTTTAATCTCGACCTGCCCTCTCCATCTTGTTACCATTGACAACACAATGAAAACAAATGAAGATCGAGTGTTTTCTCATCATCTTCATGCCAATCATTAGTGTTGAACATGAGACAAGTACAAAGTCGAGTTGAGAGAATTACTGGAAACAAAGTCATCTGTACCTACTACCTCAAATAATATATTTTTATTATGACTGCCTACTCTACCCATGTTTTTTAATGGATGATAATTGAATGTTGCACCCCCCCTGCCCTAACGGTATACATGGCGGGGCACCAGTGGAGGATGATAAGATGAGCATGAAGTTAGATTAGTCAGCCTATAGTAGCAAATACCTTTTACCACCGCACCGCTCGCCATCGACAGGGAATTCATCCCCACACACTGGAACCTAAGTGGTCCCGAACAGTGCGGTTTCAGAGGAGTTTCCTCCCGCGTACACTTAGATTGTGGAATGCTAAAAAAAAACAGTACATTACTTGAAAAACGTTTACGTAAGCATGGGCGGAGGGGGTAAGAGCTTTGTTTATTTTTGCTGACAAGGTGGATGGGGGGGGGGGGGGTAAATAATTGTAAGAAATCTGCTTACGTAATACTTGAACGGCCACCATAGTACAATTCTATCAATGAGTTAATCCACATTACTAACAATCTCCTTCCACCCGCTCTACCCATATTGGTTAGCCACTTTAATCTGTTTACTTTAATGTAATTTTGACAGCTGAAAGGCTAGACAACTGATGCATATTTTTTTTATAAATACATACTTAATTTATATAGAAAACACCCAATCCAAAAACAAACAATCATACTCATTAATAGTAATGTTTGTATTGTGTCAATCGAACCCGCGACCAGAAGAAAGGCGGTATGCTAAACCGCTAGACCACCGGGCGTCGTATCAGTTCAATAGTACAAAAAAACACATCCACGTGTACAATTTGATGGTGGCGCGTGTTACGCTACAATTGGCATTCGACAGAACTAATTACAATTACAATAACAGATGATGATGCTGATGTCACGGGTCAATAAACAAAGTTTAATTTATGGGACTTTTATGAATCTAATAGGTCAATAGTAAATAATAGTCACAACAAATATAATATTGTTTTTTCTAGCGGAAATTCATAGTTTATTTCATATTACAATTAGTGCCAACGTAATATTATATTATCTGTGGTGCAAACTAAAGATTTGAGTTTTCGTTTTGAAGAACTTACAGTTGTGAATGTGTCTTTTACGAAAATAGACATTTAATTCAATAGTAAGCTACGAAAAGACAAATTAAATTTATCCTTCAATATTTTTTTGTTATTTCGGACATGCTTATTGTGTACCTAAAGCAAATGATAACTTGGGAGTGGAGGCTTGCTTAAATTTTCAATATATAGTATTATTTTATATACATATGTGTTATTGTGAAAATATAGAATCAAAAAAAATATATCAACTCTAATTTAAATAGAGTTAGAGTTGAGATAGATTAGATGTATACGTAGGTACCTATATACTTTAACAAAAGTATAGGTACCTGTTTCATAGTCTGTAAAGTATTTTTTGAATTTATTCATTCCATATTAAAGAAATTATTAACTGATTTTAAAAATATTTTCACTTATAGAAGGATACGTTGTTAGGTCTTACCTAATATGATTGATGTTTTATTTGAAAAGTAAAAAAAAGTCTCTTTAATAATTTTATCCATTTAAAACCGGGTCTAATGGTATGTCGTTAACAAATATAGCCCCTTGAAGTCTTTTTTATGTGTTTCGTCCAGGAACAAAAGTACAAATTGAATGTAGGTACTAGCATATAAGAGCCAGCAATGCTTGACTATTTAGTATATCAATATAATCTATAATAGCCCATAAATAAATCAATCGCTTATCGTTTAATGGTATAAGCACAAAGGTTTCATACAAACCATACAAACATCATACAAATCACAAGACTTACTTAAAATATAGATACTATAATTAGGTATTATACCTATGTATTCTGTGCTCGTTAAATACAATAAGCATTATGTTAGTATTAAATTGGTACAACAAGTAGATTAGTAGAGCTCTTGATTAAGGATCTTCTAATCAGTTTAATAAAATCGTAAAAACCAAGGCGACACCGTCTATGTCTGAATATTTGATCATGAAGTTGGGATTATCCAAGATTCATGGAGAAGGGAAACACCGTGTAGAGTTTGAAGAATTGGTGTTTTAAAAATAAAATGGAAGTTCACAAAATCGTTTGAAAACTAATATTTAATATTAAATACACAACTTATATTTGAGACACTATTGGATAACAATGTTTTGTGATTTAATTGCGTCAAATTTACTTTGTTTTTGTAACAATTTCCATTGTAGCTCCGCTCCTATTGGTCGTAGATGATGTTATAATCTATGACATTTACCAATAACTAGGTTTTCTATTGGTAAAAGAATTCTCACAAAGCCTTACAAACTTTACCTTTTTATGATTTACTAGCTGTGTCCGCGGTTTCAGCCGCATCAAATTCGTAGCATACCTATGTGTTATTTTGATAAATATTTAAATCTCCGTCCGTGCAATTTTCATAAAAATGAGTATCTATAACATCGTAGATATACTATCATACTTGAAGTCGTTTTTTTTGTTTATCCACAAATAACATAGAGCATTATTAATTTAATTTTCCAGTGGTACTTCCTGTATTTTCTTACGGTACTGCCGTGGGATGGATGTCCCCGATGGGACCTCGGCTGATGTCGGCCGAGTCTCCTGCGACGGATCCAGTGCATCCTGACGTCATATCTTGGATGGCATCCGTAGTGTACCTCGTGGGTACGCCTGCTGTGTTCCTGTTTGGTTATATTGTTGATAATTATGGCAGAAAGAAGGCTTTGATGTTTACTTCTTTATCTATGGTTGTAAGTATCCTATTATTTATATTTAAACTGGATATATGTTGAATTATGAATAAAATATTTAACATATATCCATATGAACAATTCACACAGCGTCATCTAGTCCTATGGTAAGCAGAGTTATGTTATGGGTACTAGACAACTGATATAAATACAGTTTTTTTGTAAATACATACATAATATACAGAGAAAATACTATTTCATTCCTTTCTAATTTGATTTTCTGTTTGCTTTCAGGTATGCTGGGGTCTTAAATTATATTCAACATCGACCTGGGCTTTGATAACTGCGCGAGCCATTATAGGCCTAGGCGTAAGCGGTTCCTATGTAGTAACTCCTCTGTACATCAAAGAAATCAGCGAAGATTCCATCAGAGGAGTGCTTGGGAGTCTCGTTGTACTGTCACAGAACTTGGGGAATTTAGTGGTGTATATTATGGGAGAATATTTGAGTTACGAGGCAACGTTGTGGATATGTTTAGCGATACCATTGGTGCATTTGTTGGTGTTCACTACCATGCCAGAGACGCCATCTTATTTGTTGAAGTGCGGAAAGGTTGAGGTGAGATGCTTTTAAATTCAAGTTTTAAAGTCAGGGTTTACCTACTTATTTATTCAAATAGTTTTTGCAACTTTGAACAAATATAATGTAAACGTTTTGTATTAACGTACTCACTGTGAGCATCGTGTTTCCTCCGTGGCTCTCTCATCCTAAAGTTAAGCGTAGTTAGTCAACCAGTTTATTGTGTCTTAATATTTTGACTCTAATAAATTATTGCTATTTGGTAGTTTGTATTTATACTTAAGAATGTAAAATAGCAACTAAATTATTTAAAAGAGCAACATGCAAGTTTCTTACTCGTTCTTCGTGTAATGAGACAGGTTTCAGAATGAGCGTTAGATTAAAAAAATAAATAATGACTATTCAAAAGTGCTTCAATGTAAATTTCTTTGAATAAATGATTTTCTATTCTATTCTATTCATTGGGCAGAAAAAAGTGTTACAATGTATTTATGTCAAATACTTAAGTGATCGAAACATCAACCAAGTTAGTTGGAGAGAGGGCGGTAAATTTTAATATATAGGGCGAAATGTGAGCATGTTATCTGTTACGTTCACATGACATCTACAGTTGACCTCTGACTACCACATCAGAGTTAGCTGGGGTGAAGATGTATTTTATATAATATTTTATTCATTTATTTTGTTTTCCAGGAAGCAAGGGATACACTCGCTTGGTTGAGATGCAGAGATACATCCGAAGCAGCGGTGGATAGCGAGTTGCAATTGCTTTTGTTAGAACTGGAGCAAAGCAAATCGGGAAATATTATAAGTCAATTTAAAGGTTTAGGTCAGTAGCTAAGTAATCTTATGAAATTACCAATGACTTTCGGTCAATTATGTTTGTCACTCAATAATCCAATTGTTAATAGAACTACATTTTAGACTTTAGAAGCATTTGACAGATAAAAGATGATAGTTTTTTAATCAATATGAATTTCCAATAGCATAATATTTTTTTTAATATATATTTATAATAATAATTTCGTAAAAAAAAACAAAAAACATCTTTGTTTCGAGTAGGTCTTAAATCCTTAACTTTATCAGACATGATTTTACAAATTATCTATTTTTTTTAAATAAGTATGTAATTTCACTAGCTTTATATTAAATACTTCCTTCAAATATACAATAATTACATATTATTGTAAAAAAAAAACAGAAAATAACTTGATCTCTAACATTAGGATCTTAAACGATCATTAAAAGTATGAATTTGATTGTGTTTATGTTTAATGTTACGGTATATGCACATTTTGTAGAGTTTTAACAATATGTAAACAAGACAGCGGTCGAGTGATCGACAAACATTATTGATTTCATACTCCCATTCTCACAGCGTCGGGTGACAGAATCGCTGTTTAGCTTTAATGATGGTAACCTGTCTGTACGTTTGCTTTTATGTCGTTTGAATAGTTTCCGATGACTCCCAAATAGTTTCAACATATCTTGACGGCTTCGGTGGTCTAGCGGTTTAGGACACCGCTTTATTTCCGATGGTCGCGGGTTCGATTCCTCGCACGGTGCAAATATGTATATTCACAAGTATAATTGTTTATATTGTTCTGGATGTATATCAGTTCTAGTATCCATAACACAAGCTCTGCGTACCAGGAACTAGATAGAACTAATTGTCCAGGGTTATTATTTACCTTAATACGTATAATGGTTCTTGATGGGGTAAATAGATTTAGTTGCTATTGAACCGAAGAAGTATTATATTTGAACTTAAGTTTTTTTGTGTAATATTTCATAGATTTCCTGTAATTATTGTGGCTACAAATACCATGTTATCTGTTCTAGAGATTTATAAAACGACAAAAAAATATATATTAACATTAAAATTGTAACAGTTGCGTTTCTTGCCAGCTCTGAACTGAAGTAGCAAACCGAACTGGAATATAATAGCTAGTCTATTATGACTACTTTAGACTATTATAATAATGAGAGATTTGGTTATTTTTGTAAAGAATAGTAATAATAACCCAGGATAATCCAGTTCACCCAGCGCACCTCTTGGGTACATCCTGTTTTTTATTACTATCTCTATAAATACTTGTAAAAAAAATATACAATTACTTTATTAAACTTTGTTCTTTCAGTTACGGATCGGAGCACTTTCCGCGCGTTCAGGATCACATTAACAATAACACTGGCTCGTGAAATGTGTGGTTGTCTCACGGTGTTACATTTTGCATCGTTGATATTCAGCGAAGCGAGCCAAGGTGGTTGGGTGCTGACTGCTAATCAACAGGCGGCCGTGTTAGGTGTAGTACAGCTCATCGGATCATGTACTGCATCTAGTTTGGTGGAAAAGACCGGCAGAAAGGTACCTATGCTTCCTTCTTTTAACTGGCACATGTACCTCGACGCATAGAGGTCTGGTGGAAGATGTATTTGTCTGTGGCATTATATCTCTTGCCGGGCCGACTACGATACTACTTTTGTTTGAAAGATGACGTATTGCAGATAGTTCTTAGCTACAATTTTATTGAGATATATATAGTTTGTCTGAAATGTTATTTTACAATTATGGTTTATTAATAATTGATGTGACAGTGGAAATTAGGATATTGACATGTTAGTTGACGATAAAGAATATTGAAAACGGTACGGTCCACTTAAAATTTAATAATAATAATAGTCTTTATTTGTCTCAAATAATAAACTGTTATATTTTGTTTTAATAACATTCAATGGTATTAATCGAGACAACATTGATTTGTAGACTATTTTGTGTCCATTAATACGAGACAAAACAGTCTACTACTTCGTTATAGCCTAAATAATAAATTATTTATTCATTTATAATTTAAGAGCGAGGCTCTTATCTGTGGAGTTCTTGCCACTTTCCTCGATCTTCTATCATATTCTTACACATATTATTATAATAAAGAAATCGACGACGATGTCAGCAATTAACTTTAAAACTGTTCTCTACTGACAAACTGATTAAACATTAAAATTCTAAAAAATAACTTAAATAAATAAGAACGAACTAATGATTACTCGGGACAACCTACATGTATACCTTATATAGGTAGAGTTATAAATAAATAGTTTTTGCTGGTTTCAGCCTCTATTAGGCACCACTTGCCTAATATCAGGAGTGGCTCTCTGCGTCCTCGGATCCTGGTTCTACGTGCAGAGTTTGGGTGAAGGCGCCGGCGCGTCATGGCTGCCCATTGCCGCCTTATGTTTGTGTATATACTGTGACGCCGCGGGCTTGCAACCTGTACCTTTTGTGGTAATGACGGAGATGTTTTCGTTTCAGGTACATATTACTTTCTTAACTATTTTTTTATGTAATTGGAATGGCAACCAAAAAAAAACTTAAACGAAAATCAATATTTTAATATACCAATATTATATTATATATTTTTTGATGCATTTGGATGGCCTCAGTGGTCTAGCGGATTAGCACACCGTCTTACTTCCGATGGTCGCGGATTCGATTCCTCGCACGGCACAACGTTTGTATTATATTTGTTGATAATTATGATTGCTTGTATTGGTTTGGGTCTTAGTAGATATTTCTATGAGTCGTTTAGTACCAATAACAATGCCTCTGATTAGTTTGGGATTAGATGGCGCTGTGTGAATTGCCCATTACCCTAGCTAATTAACACAGCGCCATCTAGTCCCACGATAAGCAGAGCTTGTGTTATGCGTACTAGACAACTGATAAATACATAGAAAACACCCAGACCGCAATCATACTCATGAATACAAATATTTGCACCGTCCGTGAAATCGAACCCGCGACCCGTTTTAATAATTATAATTATACATTTTATTTCATTTCAGCTCCGCGGCACTGTAACGTCCATAGTGATATCATTTGCATGCGCCCTCGTGTCGGTGCAACTGCGAGTGTTCCAGCCTCTCGCATCTGCCGTGGGTCTGTACCTTATCTTCTGGTTATTCGCCGGGATCTGCCTCGTCAGCACCGTGTACATAGCGCTGGTCGTACCGGAGACGAAGATGCGTAGCATAGATGAAATATATGCGGAGATAGGAGGCAAGAAAAGTAAAGAGGGTAAAGACTGTGAAGCCAATGTAACAAGGTTGTAATTTTATAACATTGTATAACCAATAATTTATGTATTAGATAACACATTGTAGTAGTCGTCGCTATTTTACAAATTGTGGCAACATTACCGCAATTCATGTTCTCTCTCCAGTGCTCCGTGGTCTACTAATATAAAAGTTGTTCAATTGAATCAATAACGACGAAACGGCTATAGTCATGCAATTTTGTATACAAATCTAATATTTTGTTATAACTAACGTGATGAAATCCGCTAGATGCATCTTAGTTTGTTAATAAGAACTGATTTTATCACATGAAGATGGATATTTTTGTTTTCACCTATTACCATATGTAATAAATAAAAATATTCATCTTCACTGCCTACGGTGCACAATTATTGTATACGTTCTCTAGGACGTAGGTATGTGCATCAATGTTGTAGTATGAAGCAAATATTGTTATTGTGATTCGCGGTAGACTAACTGTCATACATTTGTATTCTGTAATGTTTACATTACAAGTAACTATAGTATATATTGTTGAACGATGTAAATAAGGTACTATGGTTGGACCTACCAGTGATGACCACAAATATAAGAATTTATAAGTATGCTAATAGATAGAATATACAAATTTTTGCATTACTTTTATTCTTATATAACGACTTTAGTGATTTGTAACTGTATTCAGGATCATCATCATCATCATCATCATCATCAAAATAGTCAACACAGGAAGAATCTAACATATGTATATTATATAATGTACTAATCAATTTTTAAATATACGTCGTCAATCTTGCGATAGCTTTATCCGATGAAATTGCCACGAGCCACAGATGGTGTATTTATAATTACCTAAGCTGAAAACAACTGTAAATAATTTAATTAATCTGATAGTTATATAAGTTTTTACATTTTGTAGAACCAATGTATTGTAACCATATCTAATGTAAAGTATTTCTAACTACAGAATCAGAAATACAAAACGGCAGGTCCGCTCTAGAGTATATCAATATTGATGTCAATCTAATCTATTTTTGTACTATTCATTCGTTGACAAAAATATGGAATTAATACGTTGCTAGTATATAATTTAAGAGTATAAAAAATTGCGATACGCCGCAATGGTCGGTTGGAATTGCTATTGCGCCCGAATATCATAAATAGGTACCTATAGGTATAGATTCTAATGCCTAATAAATTCTAATATAAACCTACCGTATTTTTATACGTAAATTTATTTGAATTATTTTCTTTTTAAATATTTTAATAGTCTGAGCAGTGTATAATTGTTTTTTTATATTTAAAATGGCTGGTGTTTACTTTCTGGCATTGCGTTAATTACGTAACACGTTGAATAACATTTCATTACAACAGTATGTTGTTTTATATATTCATTCAAGCAATTCTTAAGTTTTTATAATTACTATAAATTATCGTCTTTACTATAAATAATAGTATAATAACAATAAATTTACTATAGTTTAGACTTATTCGTATTAACGAATTTGAATTACCTATTATTTAAGTAGCAGAAATATGTAAGTAATATATAGGATAGTTGATTTTAATGAAATATCAAAAAACAAAACGATTTTTTGGTTACTAAATGATTAAACATTTTGATAAAACATAAGTTTTTTAATTATATGTAGCGCCATATATATCCATACGACTGTGTTTCCAGATGTGGTAGCCAGAGGCATTCAAATGTCGCCGTGGCGAAACAAATACATTTCATTTGAGGGAAGGGAATTGTTAGTAGTGAGAATTAATAACCTCATTTCTAGCATTAGACCATGTCAGGTTGATCTCCACGCGGTTCCCATAGGAAACCATCGTGATACGTTTCTTGTCAATTTGTCACGATGGGCTAACTGACCGATATGTCGGTAATTAGCTAGCGTAAACCGTTAACGTATATGGGTAGTTCCATTATCATCAATTAAAACCCATGTGCAATTTAAAATTCTACAATTATGTAGACAATATTTATATGTTAGATACTAATAGAGAGAGTATATTTCATACACCGCATCCCCTAGATATAAAGCTCGAAGTCGGATAGTAAGATATCGTGTCTACATACATTAATTTAGTAATTAATATTTATCGACTATTATGTAAATTTTGATGATATCGAAGGAATTATATATATAGTTGGAAATAAAACACAAAACTGACAAGCAATGGAATGTTTACAATTGCAATGATAAAGGTCCTTACAATATCATATATAAGTACAAGCCTCTTACAGAAAGACAGTCTTACTTTGCTTTTAATTATATATCAATTTACTATAACACTATTGGAGATAAACTCTCAAGGACATCAAAACCATTCGTTGAGATCACAACCATACACTCACTTGGCATAACAAATCGAACATCGTTGCCTCAAAAAAAACTATAGACAAAATAAAAAAAAAAGTAAAGCAAGACCACCTTTCAATCAGTCCGAAGCGTTCACTTACACAAATACAAAACACTGCATTATTTGTATATATATTATATTTTAGTATTGTGATCTAACGTATACAACATGGATATAAAATGGAAGTTTATATAAAATGACGTCACAATAGTACAGAAACTGTGTTATAGGAATTTGTGCTTTCAACTATCTTATAAGGTTGTTTATATTATATATCTTATATAAGATTACACATACATAACTACTTTCTATACTATTACAAAATCTAATCATTCGTCTGGTATAAAATGTTAATTAGACATCCTTTAAAAGTTGTATGTTTTTATGCTTTACAAAAGTACTATTATTTCCCAACTGAAGTGGACCACCTATTAAACAATTCTATTTGTTAATACAAAGTATATAACAAGTAATTAGGTAGTCCACTTAAGTTTATTATGAAATTTTAATTCTGTAACTATTATGTAAAAGATTCATTACACATTTGCTATATTTATATTAAAAATAGTAAGGTTTTCACCGATTTATTACAATTGTCCATATAAAAACGTTGGTGGGAGGGTCGGGGAAGCATTTGGTCGGGAAATGGTCAAATATTTACAAGCGCAGCATTCATTTGACAACATAATCGAACACTAAAAGTGCAATAAGTAAAAAAATATATTATTGGGCTATGGATCTTAGAACTTTAAAATTAAAGTAGATTTTCCAAAAACATTTGTTTTAGTTAATGCAGTTTTCTATTAAGCGTGATTATTTTGCTTTAAAAGTAATAACAAATCAATTATTTATGGAAGAAAAAGCTTATTAAATAAGATAGTGATAGAATAGACATGTGATGAAAGATCATAAAACTTAAAACAAAAATTATATAATAACTACATACTATCAGCCGATGAATGTACATTACTAAAAAGAACATTATAAGTGACCATAAATAATAACTAGAATAAATTCGTTTCGACCCAAAATACAAGGTTTTTCTATGTAATGTACTGAACATTTAAAAAAATTAGCTGCACATAAAAAGTTTTTTTTTTAACCTTTTGATTATTTTCGTGAAGTTCTTTAGTGAAAAATAGATATTTAATGAGACGTGATAACCTCTATAAACTCCCAATAATGGAATCATTGGACATTTCTGTTGTTGTTGGGATTCTGGTTTTATTAAAATCATTATTGTTTTGCTGTGCAAATCTATATACAAACTTTACACATGCCAAGTTTTTTTAGTCTGTGTATATCCTATCCTGTTTTCGTACATGTGAGCGAAATTAAACGACAAATGCAAAACGATCCATCGATAGCACGCACGTATAAGATAGAACGAGACAGCAACATCTGGCCTCTTGCTTATTCCTATACGTGCGGTTATGATGTCGCCATTTTGTTACCACTTGTTACACAAAAGAGACCCGTAAATCACTGTACTAAGGTTTCGAATCGACAGGTACTATTGATAATCGAAAAAACTAAACAACTTAACTGCTTAAAAACTAATTAAAATCTATAAATTACTTTGGATTTTTCAAACGTAAATAATAAAGCCAAAACGATTAATTCTAATACTACAATACCGAATAAGTAGAGATTATCTTATATTGCACTTAGTTACATAAATGATATGCCAATAATAAGCCTTAAAAATTATATATTCGAGGCTTTGTATCAATTCAATCTGATATACGGTTATCTACGATAGGTAAATTTTCTATATAATGTAATGCCATATTTTTAGCAGTTTTAATAGATCCAAATTGATGGGCACACTCTTATACATTATGAAGGTACTTTTGAAAACTGTAATATTTATTGACGGCCTCGGCCAGCGTTTTATTACATTGTCTTACCGATGGGATCAATTACTCTCGGTGTAAACATTTGTATTCATGAGTACGACTGTATTGGTCTGGGTGTTTTCTATGTATTTATATCTAGTACCCATAACACAAGCTCTGCTTAACTTGGGACTAGATGGCGCTATGTGAATTGTTCTGGGGTATTATTACTATTTTTTGCCATCAGAATGAATTGATATGACCCATAGAACTAATCAAATAATAATAAAAAATGCCAAATAGTTAACTTAATTTTTATATACAACAAAATTAAGTCTACTAATCGACACTCAGAGGAGGCGATTCCACCCTCCCTGCTATTGTTTCATAGCCTTTAACCGAAAATTATAACAATAAAAAAATAAAAGACGACGATAGCATACAAGTTCAAAAATTACGAGTACACATATATAAACTGTTGACATAATAAGAAAGAGGTTTCAATAAAAGGTATATCTGACTACAGTCATAAATTTCATAATTGCTCGTTTGATATTTGAAATATCAATAGTTACGTATTAATTGATTTTATTAAAATAATAATTTATATAAAAAAAATCAATATTTAAAAAAAAATCATATACTTATGTATTACGTACTTATACATGTAAATGTATTAAACAGTAGTAAATGACCAGATTGAATTCATTCAAATTACTCTCATCAGCTGCTTCTTCCTTACCCCATTCATTTGGGGTCGGCGTAATGTTTTTCTCTTCCATTCATCCCCCGTTCGCAGTCATCTCAATATTTACTTTCATGCAATATCCATCCACCACTTTTTCGGACTTCCTTTGCTCATATAACGATCCACATTCATATGTAATACATTTAACTACTATGTTAACATATTATAACATTGTACTTCGTTAAATACTTTATTATTATGCCATAGGAAGAATATAACTCGGTCGCACGATCTCAGAGTTTCTCAAAAAAATTGTTAACCAGGTGAATGCACGCATAAACTATATTTTATACTAGACTATATACATTCGAGCGACAGAACTCATATAATTAGCAGTTAAACTTAGAAGACATTATTAACATGAATAAAACAACATCATCAAGCGATATACTCCCAGATTCATGGAAATTAAGATTAAAGAATAATATGTTCAAGAATATAAATATACCAGATTTTTCAAGCATAAAAGAAGAATGAAAGAAGTTTTTTTACTGCTTAAACACTAATTACTAATAATGTCAAAATTATGACAAAAAGATATTGACAAACAACTAGAAGATGCCTCAACATATAAATAAAACTAATAAACATTTTGGTGTACAACAATTTGGCATTCCCACGGTGTCAGTCAGTGTTAAAGCGGTTATATACGCTTAAAAACAAATATAATTCAGTCTTTAAAACAAATTAATTAGTGAGCAATTTAAATGGAATTATAAGTTACAAGCAAAATACATGTACCGACAGTTTCATTGTCTTTAATTTCAAATAGAACATTTTATATTATGTTACTGAGACTAAATATTATATAAGTACAGAAGAAGCCACTTGTTTGGTATCAAATTAAGATCTTTGAAGACAATAATTCCAAAGTAATTAACTTCATATAAACGATCCCATCTAAGAATTTTCTAGATCCTTCTATTTCGTTCTATGTGAAACTACAAACTTTGAACTATCACTGAGGTACATCCATATTTAGTGTATGGTAATATTAGTAAGTTAAAAAGCTCTGCTATATATGAGATCTAAAGCAGATCTGGTAAACCAGGTAAGTTTTTTTGCAAGATAATGTCTTTGGCTGCCATATATTAGTAATTTTATTAATAATTGTGATTTTCTTTTTGTGTGAAGTACAGTGCTTGTGAGTTTTATTTGTACCACCATTGAAAAGTGGCCAGTTATGTACCTAAATTAAAAAAAAACAGTAATTGTTAGGTCACAGCAATACAGTTATAAATTAATTACATAATCTATATTCTCAGGCATAAATAAAAAAAAAATAACATTTACAGATTCTAAATTTGAAATTACTTACAACTAATATTTTTTACTTAAGTAATAAGAATGGTAGCTGCCTACTGTAATAAAATTATAACAACAAATCAGGTTTATATCTGATTTCAACTACAGGGACGCTTTAGAACTATTTAAAATTCTGATCTAAAGTAATATTATAAGTGCGCAAGTTTTTTTTTGTAATAAATAAATAATAAAACACATTGACTGATTTAACCCCTCGGGCGTTAAGCATCGTATGACTGTTGCGTGTCTGAAAGTTACCGCGAAAATATTTCACATATAGGAAGGTACAATGTTTCATTTTCAACAAAATTAATTATGATCATTTAACCCGTACTTTATCTGGAACCGGTTTTTATTGTTCTAATGATGCATTTATTCTGAACAATAATTCAAAAGCAGATTCATGCTGATTGCTTTAATTAAAAACGGAAGTATCAATTGACATTTTTGTACATAATGGAAGGAATTGACGAATGGAAGACAGAAAAGGAATAATATGTATGAACAATAGACGCCGTTATATATAAAGCACTTGTAACGAGTGTTGCCAACGTAGGTATTGAAATAGGCCACTTTTTACTATTATTATATTTTAATCATAAAGTAAAACATTTTCAACAAGTACCAATGTTTATTTGTGATATTACCAATATAATGACGTAGAATTATTTGTATTATGTATTAAAACCACGTTTTATTAAGCTACTAATAAAACTTTATAAAAAACTGTTGTGCATCTAATGAATTGGACAGGGACTGTATACAGGTTTACTACATTTATTACTTGTTTATGTCCTCAGAAAAATGATTGTCTATTGAACAATATTGCTCTTCTGAGCTATTACAAGTAGATTTTAATTTACATTACAATATTAATGTCTATCTCACCCTTCAACTTAAAAGTTACTTGGTTGACATAGGCGAGACAAAGATGGCCTCTTAAACGAGTTTGTACTTTATGTACATAGGTTTTAGGGTTATTCAACAAATAAATTAATAACACAATTTTGCACGTCTCGTTACAAATGCTCAATAGTGTTTAGATCAAGTTCTCAATAATAATGTTACATTACCAATACAACTAAGTATATTTTTAATAACATTTCTACTAGAAAGTAGTATTGATAACGTCGCATTATTATTTATTAATTATCATAATGCAATATAAGACATGAATAGACAGCCATGATATTCGATATAACTTAATGCACTCAGTGCTCTTACCGCAGAGTATATATGTATACATACAGAGTGAAAGCTTAAAATCCATTGCTCACCATGCTATATTGTAACTGTTGCAATAAAATATTACTCTCAGGAATGCCATATCTGTATAGGATATATCAAGCATATGTGTATAATCTCGTTTAGTCTATAGAGTGATAAAAATCACATACTCCCTATTTCTGTTATTCCTCCACTTTCCAAATTAAGCCAGTGCTCAAGCTAACATTCTGTATTCTTACTGTATACTCTGTGGTTTTACTTTATACAATTCCGTGCTCACACAACGAATCAGCTTGGGACTAGACACAATAAGCGAATACAAAAAAAATATATCTATATACAACAATAAAAGTATATAGTGCATTCTATAAGACTATCCTCGTCACTCCGAGGTTACACATAATATAGTAAATTGCATTACAATGTCTTCATCCTCTTGTGTGTTACTGTAACAAAAATATATTAATATATAAAAATTTCGTGTAACGTTGTTTGTCCGCGATGAGTTCTTAAAGTACTGAACTGATTTAGATGAAATTTTATATGTATACTCCGTAGGTCTGAGATTAGGTTGTTATCTATTTTAATACTCCGAACTGATAAGCGTGGTTCACTCCAAAATATTTATTTATTAACATATAGTTTTTATGTTGAGAAAACTCTTTTGATATTAATATATTTAAAGGTATTTTCTATTCTATAATCAAAAATATAAAAACAAATTATTATATTGTGTCACCTTCTCTATCTACCATAACATTAAAATACAATTTTCAGTCATTAATAGTTTTATTACATATTTATACAACATTTTATGATTCGGAATTAAAAATACAACCTTAAATTTTCAGCCTTCTACCATGAATCCCTATTTTTTATAGTAATATTAATTTATATGGCAAAATAACGTGCCGGGACAACTTTTAAGATATAAATACGACATTTTACACAAATGTATAATATATAAAAACTTCATGGGTGTGTATTGGTGATCAACAAACAAAAACAAATGAATCATCTATACAGACACAGATTCATGTGTACCTCTCTAGATGGGGTGAAGGTTGTGGCCACGAGCCGAATTAGCTTGGGACTAGATGGCGCTGTGTAAATTGTCCTGGGATATTCCTATTATTTTTATTAATCCATAAAAAATAAATAGAATTTACTTACAATTAGTGGTGAGACATTAGTCAGGAGCTAGGTGCGGGGGTAGCAGAGGCCGGTGCGCGCGGGTAGAGGTGGCGGTGTATCCTGACAACAATACACTTCACTGTTAATTACAACGATCTCTAAGTGACGGTCATACATTTCCATATTAAAGGATAGTAGTACGACATTGTCGGTTGAGACGACGTATATTACAGATAGTAAACTGACAATTCCATTTAATATATTGTTGACATATTTTTTAAATTATTCATAAATTTATTGACATTGTAAAAATTATTGATATTTAATAGTGAACTTAATTAATTCTTGTAATGTAACTGTATATAGTTAGTTATAATAATGTAATTGCGGTGCCCCTACGGGGTATCACATGTCTTGGATGCTTTTTATTAATAATATCTATAATGTATCATGTGAGAAGCAATAAATAAAATGTACATAAAAATATTGATCTTACATCATCATCATAATTTCATCTAGGAACACATCTACTGCTAATCAAAGGCCTCCCCAAATATCTTGGGTGTATTTACACTCAAGATATTTTGGATGAATTTTATGAATTTTCATATGGGGCGATATTGCCATAATCGCCACGTTTGGCACGCGGGTTGGCGATCGCAGTGTGGTGGTAGTTACTCAGTAGATCGCTGCTGCCCGACCACTGGTCGATGAATCCCTTAGCCACCTTCTACGACCCATCCGGGTGAAGATGGGGTGGTACTATTCTTATGGCGACAACACATGCAACTTGATCTTATATACTAAATAATAATAGTAAAAATGTAAGGTGGGGTGACACAGTTTAGACACGGCAGTGTTTATATAATTCTTACTTCATTCTTAATTAATTATTGTTAGTAAGACAAACTAAATATAGTCTTAGTTTGTCTTACTAACCATAATTAATTGTAAGAATTACATTTATGTAGATGTAACTATGTCCTATAACTGTCATACATTTCCTTAATAATTTAGCATAAATGTAGTACAATAAAACAATTAAAGTAAACCAAAAATGAAATCACGATAATAATAAATAATATAATGTTTTTTGATAAAAAAAAGCAATTTAAATAAAAATAAAAACAAACCTTAAACTATATCTGCGTGCATATCTACTACTAGGTCTTAATAATAGATGCCATACTCTGAAATAAACAAAAACGTGTTCACTTGAAATAAAAAAAAAGCAATAAATTATACAAAGGAACTAGGCTCATACAGCCAAATCTAAGAAATATTTCGTATTATCTATTTAATTGACAATTTCTGTATTATATTAATACCAATAATACATGACATAACAATGTATTTAAACAATAGTACATATATGGTGATTAAAAAGAAATATAACTTGCAAAAATAATCCAATTTACGATAATAATTTCTTAATAATCTAACCTAACCTAATGTATAGAGGCCGTCCATTAGTCCCGGGATGTTTAAATCATTCATAAAATAGTAAACACCTTTTATGAATGATTTCTAAACCAAGTATCTTATTAGACCTCCCTTGTGATATTTCGTGATTTTTTGCTGAACCTCCTCGCCTCTTTTCAAGCCTCACGTGATTAATGGACGACCCTATAGGTGTATATAAATATATAGTTACCTGAACATTATTGTCGTGTAAATAATGTCTCGGTGGCTGCGGTCGCGGCATCGGTTCATCACTGTCGTCGTCCTCATAATCTGAAAATTAAGATAATGTTAGGATCATCTACTTACATACAACGTTATCTACGTTAAAGCTATGAATACTGAAAGCAAACAATTGTGAAGACGGTAGTCATACCACTTCTTTGTTTTCTGGACTCTCCCTTTATAGTGTCTTCAGTGTCGGATCCCTCTGAAAATAAAATAAAAATATTATAACCTCCACTAAATACAACCTTTATCAATAACATCCATTGCCAATTTATTATGTCATACTCAGATTTGAAGTCAAATAAACCTATTTTATTGTATAATACCGGGTTCAGGCCATGAAAAATCAGTCGCATTATTCCTCCTTTGTTAACATTAGTTGTAATTAATATACTTACAAATGTATTTAAGTGCAATAAAGAATATTTATTATTGAGGTAAACTCAATGAAAAAAACTTCTGGTCAAATCTTAATCAAATTTATATGAGACCACTTGAGAAGCCTCTGTTTTCATATAAATAAAGGATTATATTTTATCGTGTTAAGTAAAGAAATATTACTTAATGGAATTTATATTATTTTGTTTAATTCGGCTAGTCAGTTGTAGTCTGGTCGCCGTACAGTCACCGCTAGGCTTCCTAAATTTACTAACTCTATTCATTGCCTGATGATGCTTCGTTTAGAGGCGTAATACGTGTCGGTAGGTGGAGATCCAATAACGGTCGGTATTTGATCATTACTAGGGAAGGTCAGAACGCTTCCAGTGGTTGTCAGGTTTCCGCACTGAATATTTGTGGTCTCGTACAAGCTTAAGAAGCGGAATTAAACAAAATGTACATGTAATAAGTAAACATAGGATCATAAAAATCAGTTCATGTAGAAAAATTCTGAAATACATCACAAATAAACACACATCACAAATACATTTCACACATAGAGTTTCTAGTATGAAAATTTTGATCAGTTGATAAATTGTGTTGTTACGTTCTAGCTATATTTTCCTTTAGCTCTTTTAATTCCAAAGAAAGTGACTAAAGACTACAATATTTGTTATGAGTTCTAATTGTTACGAATAAGGCTTATTATGAGATGAGACCTGATTCTAAGTAAGGATTAGACTTTACAAAAGAAAAATGGTAATAAAATTAACGTGCGTTTCGATATACTTCCATGCAATATTTTGAAAATTATAAAATATAAATAAAACATGAGGTGTATGAATAAAATAAATATAAAATAGATTTAAAATTCAGGGTCACAACACTAAATGCATTCTGATGCCTTAACTAAATTAAAGTTCCTACTTAATTTATTTAAAACTATTTAATTATTTTTGCTCGTCATGGAACCGTCCGTAATTAATAACATACCTACCAACATACGTGTAAAAAAGTAAAAAGTCAACATTCTCCCGCCAAATCTTCAATCTTTTTTTCTATATTTATAAAACATAACAACAATGCAGGCAAAAGAAAACTGAACACACAGCCATAAGCTCACCAGAATTGAGTTCTCTGACGAGTGTGGACATAGCGTTTGTAACGGAATCCGCTGCGTACAGGAGATCACTTCGGAGGCTGCGGTTGTCTATGCCCACTGATAAATAAGTTTATCTATTATCTTATAGCATGATTGCATTCATAAACTTAAAGTTTTAGTTTTTGACACTTTTATAGTCACATTGAAGTAACTATTACTTAGTTTAAAACAAATAAAACTGTAGTTACTTACTCGTCGTGGGTCGTTGGTTTTGATGATACGTTCTACCGTCTCCACCCATACTTTCCATTCCTCCTAAGAACAAGATAATTCATCATTATGACACCTGTATCATAACTTTCCACAATGTACTTGAGGTTATTATTTCATTGCACGCTTTGATATATCAGCTATATTATTGTAAAATTTTATTAAAATACATTCAGTAGTTCTTGCGGGCCCCTAGACAGCGACTTGGTATAGCCCACTTGGAAATCTCTTAATAGACTTCGAACTCAGGTGGGCCGCTACATGGGTACAACTTGGTGAAATGGGGTATCGCTTTGGAGGCTTGCAACTGCGGAGTATCATCCCAGACTTTGTCCCACTTACTATATCCTGTGCTTTGTCACACCATCATCATCATATAAGAAATGCATTTAATTGCTATTGAACGGTAGAAGAAGTAGTTATTGCATGAAAATGTAGCAAACATCTATCCATCCATTCACAATCACAAACTTTCATATCTATAATATTAGTAAAATGGAATTCTTACCTAAACTGTGCGTCATGTCGATACGTTCTCGCTCGCCCAGCGACGGAGTTTGCGGCGCACTGCGTACTGTACCGCGACTCGTCGGTTCTCTGATAAAACAACATAATTTGTTATTTTTAAACTTTTGTGTTTAATGTACATTATTTATATTTTTAAACGGGTATTAAGATAAATAATTTTATGGTAAATAATAACTTTATTTACGTCCACGGCTAGTGCAACCTAGTCGAAACGTCGAGTGAGGTAAATACCTTTAATTACCTTAAAAAATGTTTGTGTTAAGACCCGGATACTTTTATACTGACAATTTAGTATACGGTTTTTTATTAACAGTACAAAGGTACCTTTCTGGCGCTGAGGGTTGCGGCTGAGCTCCAGGCAAGGGCGGACTCTTGGTGGAACGGGGCGATGAATTAGGAGTGGAACGGGGCGATGACTGCTGCGTCTGAAAAATAGAAATTATCATCCAAGCTAATTAATAATATAATAAAAATCTAATAATCTCAATTCACACTGCGTCGTCTAGACCCAAGTTAAGCTAGCTAAAGCCTGTGTTATGGGTGCTAGATAACTGTTACAAATACTTAAGATTTTTTTTCATAAATACATACAGATTATATATAGAAAACACCCAAACCGATACAAACAATTATACTCATCAATACAAATGTGTATGCCGAGCAAGGAATCGAACACGCGACCATTAGAAGTAAGACGGTATGCTAAACCGCTAGACGACCGAGGCGGTCAAATTAATTAATATAATTGCTATCAATAATGGTTTTATGGAGTGACCCTGCAATAGCACTAAGGACATCACGTTACGATAAATGGATTAATCACGATAATTTAGTTATCCAACACTAAAACATTTTTTCAATTCGAACCAGTAGTCACTGAAATTAGTGTCAAACCAACAAACTTTTCAGCTCGTAATATTAGTATAGATATAAATGATCGTAATAAATGTTCTGTGACGTCATAGCTATGTAATACAAGCATAGCTGTTGAGATTACTGAGTTTATTGAGTATTAAATTATTTATTTTTGTACAGATACAACTATATTAACATTCCAAGATAATGATTTATGATTATGTTTACAACCTATTAACAAATAGTTAACAGGTACAGTTACTAACAATATATAACTATGCTTGTTGTTAAATTATCCGTATCATCATCATCATCATTTTAGCTCGGAAGACGTCCACTGCTGAACAAAAATCTCCACGACGATCGCTCCTGCGCTGCTCGCATCCAACGCTATCCAGCAATCTTGACTAGATCGTCGGTCCACCGTTTCTGAGGCCTACCTGCGTCTTCCGGTTTGCGGTCACCACTAGAGTCGTATGAGCTATGTGCTCTGCATATTGCCAATTCTTCGGGCGTTGCCAGCCACTCTGGTTCTTCTGCGGATCTCCTCATTTCTGATACTCCAAGCATAGCCATTGCCCTTTGAGCTTATTTATGAGGCTCATAGTTAGCGACCACGTCTGTGCCGTAAGTCATCACTGGCAACACAAGTTGGCTGTAAACCTGCGTCTTGAGACACTGAGGTGGGTGGACAAAATAGATATATCGGAGCTTCCCAAACGCTTTCCATCCAATCGACGATTGACGTCTTCTTAAAATTGTCCGTATAATAATACTAATCTAAACTAGGCCAAGCCTGTATCTCAGACACTACTGCACTGGACTTGGTGTATTATAGTTTTTAACATAAACTTAGTTAAACCCATTTTGTAACAGTTTTTATTATTAATAATTATAATAACCCTGGATCATACACAAAGCACCATCTAGTTCCAGCTTGTTTAATGGTTGCTGGTATGGTAAGCAAGCAAGAGAGAAGACACAGATCAAAGCAAACAATCATACTCATGAATACAAGTGTCTGCATGCTCCTTTCTCTCGAGGTAGATCTTCATTCTGAACTCATTCAAAGGTGTTTAAGTATTACGTTTATTTTAATAATGATTATTTCAATATCTATTTTTCATGGTCAAAAATTTATTGAATTAATATATAATCAGTCTTATTTAAGTTTATTATAAGTGTAACAGTGTAATATAATTTTAAACAATAAATATTTTTAATGCAGTTGACTGTAGGTGCTGTATGTACATGCCCGTAGTAAATTAATAAAAAAAATACTTTATTATAGAAAACCGTTAATAGTTTGAATTTTTAAAATTATTTTTGCATTCTTTACATACAGCACAAAATTATTACTTCCCATTTCGATACTAGCATATATAAATACAGGTGTAAAAAGCATTTGCAAGGACAGTACAGGATTATCCACTAGTATCAATATTATATTACTATCAACTTTAAAGCAACCGAAGTAACAATGATGTTCCATGGTGCTTTCGTCCTTATTGCTTTAGCGTTGGGGTTGGTTTCAGCTTATCCAGCAGAAGATTGGGCAACTGATAACAGTAATAGCATATTGAAGTGTATGCAAGATGTGCTGAATGACGTGAACATTCAAATGGAAGGTAAGATCTATTACATATTTATAAAATTCGTTGATGATAATGAACTTTTATTAGGCTATATGTAGGTCGTATATATTTTATTTGGCACTAGCTGTTACCCAGGTCCTAATGTCGGCGTAGAATTTCAGTTTTTTTATTAATATAAATACATTTTATAAAAGAGAAATAGACTAAGGAGTAAACTTATAATATTGGCTATCTGCGAGTGAAAGTCCAAAATCAGTCCAGCCGTTTCAGAGATTAGCTACCACCTTATATTTACCGTATATACTTTCATATCAATTTAGTGAAAATAAATTTAAATTACATGTTAATTTAATGTATAATGCATTTAAAATATTAGAATAGAAAAAAATACCTAAGTTATTTTAATGACTTATTAATGACAAATATGTAAATAGCCAACGTATTGTAAAGTGGCAATCATTTCGCGCATTTTAATTTATATTATAGTGATTATTTTCTTACATAATTATGAACATCAATAAGGCCGCCCTATTGTAACTATAATTGACATGTATTCTTTAATACATTGTTTATGTCATTTCTTTACTCCATGTTAAAAGTAAAGTATATACTAATATCTAAAAAAATCTATAACATGTAACAAAGTGTTAATATTACATTTAAATTTTAATTAAAATATTACAGCTTATGAAAGCCACCCGGGGCTATGCATTTATGAAATCATAAATAATATTGCGATGTGCGCATATGGTTCTTATAAACCTGTGTCAATGAGTCCAAATTTGATTGTTAGTTTGGATGAGGTCATGCAAAAATGGCACAATTACAAATACTACTCAGACAATGCTATGAATAGAGCACATGGTACTGTTGAGAAGGTTAAGCCAGGTAATAAATACAATTTTATTGAATTTTATTGTGTGAAAGAGGATATAGCAAGAGAGTGAATAACGAGATAACTGCAAACAGGGATGAATGGGATAAGGAAGAAGCAGATGATGATGAGTGTTTCATTTATTTATGTCAACACTGGCTGGTATGACCATAATAATGCAAAGTAACGATTATGTGATCAAAAAAGCCTTAAGACTACCCGAAAGTAAAATAGGTAGAGGACGTCCTCCAGCCACCTGGTGGACCAGCATGAGTAAGCTTATCGCTGCGGGAAAATTGCGCAACCGAAGAACCCAGGACAGACTGTCTCGGTGCTGCAAAATTAGGAGAGGCGACCCCGCATATGTTAGCGCTAAGAGGAAGAAGACTGGCTGTTGCCCTGGACTAGCATTGTTTTAGATAAAAGATAGCTATATCCGTTCTAGAGCCACAATCTGTCTTGACGTCAAATTTCATTACGAACATATCGGTCGTTCACTACTTACTAAACTACTAACGGTTGAAATGATGGAATAAACAGATGGATAAACGATTTACACACACTCTTGCGTCTAAAATATCAGTCAGACGGGAGTTGGCCTTCAGCCGCTCTATAAGTTCTTCTGTGGGTTTGGAGTGCCATCTGCACTCGACCCCTATCGTCCAGTAAAGATGTAAAGGTCAACTGCGGCCAACAGCATTAGAGTAGTCCGAAAAAAATTATATATTTATAATATTAGTATAGATTCTCATTATTTACTGGCCATTGTAGTTGCAGATAACAGTACCGTTGAGCCCACGAATATATTGGAAGATTTTCTAAAATGTATGCTACATATCCTCCACGGATATAATCATTACGACGATGACGACTGCTCCTCTTCGGAAGGTATATCTACACTAACACTATAATAATAATATCTTGGAACAATTCACATACCAACTAATCCTAATCTAAGTAGAGCTTGTGTTATGGGGATTTAAATACATTTGACTAAACAAGTTGCTTGACAGCTAAATAGATAAGGCAGAGATACACATGTAACTAATTCTAAAAAGTCTACTTCTGCCAAAACTTCCACTGGTACCACACACGTGGTAATTTCCGTAAGCGATTACTACTTTAATTTTCATTATTTGAATGGTTTATTTCTAAAAGGAAAAAACTGTATTTTGATAATCACACAGTTGACTTGCAACTTTTTTTAAAATAAACGCATGAATGATTTTTAAATAATAAATGTTCTGATTAAAAAGTTTTGGATAATGAATTATGTTTTAAATAATTATAAATTTCAGCATGCATAATAAAGCAAAACATAGCATTATATTTTATAATAAAAACTTAAGGAGACCTGTTTCTCGCAAAATAACTTTATTTTAATTTGCTTTAATTTGAATATACTCAGTTTACTTATCTCCTCAAAATTCTCTGAGTATTTTATAAATTGAATTGGAACCCATTGATGTCTCAGTGTTGTCATGGAATTTTAACTCATATAATGATATAATAAACAGTAGTAATAAAATAATTACTTTCATTTTCAGAATACGAATATACGAACAGTTTTCAAATATGAATATAGTTGCAATTTTTCGTTCTCTGTGGAAATATAATGAGCATTAAATATCAATGTTATTTTTCGTTTGTTCATTTTTGTTTTCGTTTAAATATAATATGTATGATTTATGATTACAATTTTAATGTTACTTTCTGAAATAAAAGAACTATTACACTTTTGTTAGTATTTACATGAATCCTGATTCCCAATTAAAAAACTCTGATTAAATTAATTCAATAGCTTAATTAATTCCTCAATCCAGTAGTATATGTGAGAAAGAGAAGGAAGCATTATGTTGTCTCTAGCACACACTGCTGGCGTCATGAGGTCATTATGCTGTAACCGGCAAGTGAGAATAATGGTGCTGTCAGAGAGCAGATAATTAGAAAAACGAACAGTAGAAATCCATTATTCTTTTATAATGAAACATTAATAAGATAAGATTTTTATAAAAAAACAATGTGACGATACCTTTAACATTTTTGAATTAAATTCTTTTGTTCATATCTTTATGAATAAGGATTTTTGTTAAATATACCGTCTTACTTGCTGTGATGATTTCTTCCAAGATGTTAATATTTGTATTCATAAGTATGATTGTTAATTTGTGACAGCTTTATGTCTGTATATTATGTATTATATAAATTATGTATATTAAAAGGATTATTCTATTATTTTTGTTAGTTGTCTAGTACCCATATAATAAACTCTGTTTAGCTATCCACTAAATATCCAGGGTTATTGTTGTTATTACTTATTTACCTTTAACATCCTCATGAGCCCCTCCAACTGCTGCATGAGATGCTTCCGAGACTCCTGCAGTGAGGAGAGATGGCCTTCCAATTCATCTTTCCGTTGCCGCAGCGCCCGCAGCTCCGATACAAGCGGCGGAGCGGAATTACCGCTTGTTGCACTTGCTCCCGCGCTCGCTTCTGCTTCTTGCTGTCGTCTGGACAATATAATAATAATAGTATTTATGAGTATCATGTCTATACACATAATGTAATGAGCCCGCAACTCCTTAACGATGGTGTTCGGAATAATAAAAGTATATAATTTGTTATTTATGAACCGCTTATATACATTGATATTAGGGGAAACTTATTACAATATATTAGTGAAAAGCGCATTACGGAAATTTGGAAAATTAACGTGCACAAACTTTTTGATATGTATACAGCACTACGAGTTTCATGGGAAATGTTATAGAACTTAAAAACCAAAATAGACAATAGTGTTGAAGTGCCAGATAAATATCTAGAATAGCATGATTCACTAAACAGGACAGTATGAAATTTCTAATTGCGACCTGCTATATAATAACAAATGTAAAAGAAAAAGTACTTCCTTGTGATGCAAGTGAGCCAATACATACCGTAGTCTGGCGATTTCTCTCATTATTTCCCTGTTTTTAGCTTCTAGTTGTGAGATTAATTCGCGCTGCTGCCGCGCCGCGTCTACTTCAGATCCTTCTGATGACGACCGGCCCTATAAGATAAATAATAACAGATTATCATTTTTTTTAAGAATAATCATCTATTTCTGTAGGTCAGCAGCTTATGTTGTATGCTGTGTTCCATTTTGAAGGGTCAACTATGGCAGTAAAATGATATTACGTTTTGCCCAGGAAGGTTGAAATACCGTTCCAGGAGAAAGTTTAGAATGTGAATCTATTTCTTGTTTTAATAAACAATAAATACTACAAAAATTTTGTTGTTCTAAACTATTGTAATGCTTAATTTAATCTTAAGCCATGGCTGCCACAAGTTCATTTTGTAATATACGTTTTGTCTTTCAGTTATATAGACTATTGTTACCACTTTCCATCAAGTGAATTTTCTTAGAGCTAATGTTAATAAATAGCTGGGTTTTGTCACAAAGAAATTCAGCATGTGCATATTTTATTTTATTTATTTAGGTCAACAAACAGTTTCACGTTGAATATGGTTTAAGGCTATTTTATAATTAAGGTGTCATCCACTACATTAACCAATAATTACTGTAATTAAAATGTGCTGCCTAAGGTATGTTACACAAGTATTACTAACTACTACTAGTACTTTTTACTTGATATATAATATCTACTATAAAGGTTTCAAACTTACCAATTCTGGTGTTAGTGAAGCAGACCTTCCAGCTCTTGGCTGTAAAAAATATGTTAAATTAATTGACTGAAGAGGAAAGCACTGGGAGAAGAGAGGGGTGTCAAAAATTGTGAAATTCGTAAAAAGTATTTATGGTCAGTATTCAAGTCCAATTGATTATTTATGAGTAATAGATTTACAGTAAGGTTATTTAGTACCTATATACCCGTGATTTGTTTTTAAATCCGCGAAATAGCTAAGAAATTACCTCATTAGTGATGTTACTTCCCAAAGTCGTTATGAATTAAGTAACTATTTATTACTGTAAATACCAGGTTTTTCATCTTTGAAGTATTGTCAACAAAACAAGTTAATCATGAAGAAAATCTGAAATCGAAGTATTTTCTGTTACATCCATTTCAGCAGCCACATAGCTTTGTAAACTATGTTTCGATTGAAGGTATAACATCTTAGTTCTTCAGACCGGCGAGAGTTGGCTTTCAGCCGTTCCATAAGTCCTTCCGCGGGTATGGAGTGTCATCTGCACTAGCCTCCTATCGTCCGGTGAAGCCGTAAAGGCCAGCTGCTGCCAACAGCATTAGTGTTCGAAAAGAAGCATATACAAAAACAATACGTACCATGGTGCGGTTCTCGTGGGCGAGGCGGGCGGCGTACCTGGCGATGAGGCGGTGCTCATCGTCAGTTCCCCGGAGGTCGTGTCCTCGTGCTCGCACCCAGCGGGAGTCCAGCGACCCCGTGTGCGGCCCCGCGCCGCCGCCGCAGTACTCCGGGAACCCGTTGTGAGCCGGCACCGGCGACGGCGGCCTACGCACATATATACCCTTCACACCAACCCATAGACAACAACTTACAGGACAGATAGTTGTTCTGTATGACAAACATTGTTTTGCCATATAAATGAAAGTAAATTTAAGTTAAGTTCGCTATTAAAAAATGAGATTATTAAATAGGCATAGGGGTAGAAGGGTGAAACATTAGAATTTGAATTGTTTTTTTTTATTAGCTGATTCTCAGACATACTGAATATGCATATGAAATATCATAAAAAGCGGTCAAGCGGTTTCGGAGGAGAATGCATGATAACATTGTAAGACGAGAATTAGAATTAGATAATAGATATAGAAAAAATATTTATTCAAATAAACTTAAAATAAGCACTTTTCAATAGTCATATTTTTTGAAGAGACAAATACTATAATGTATGTATTAGAATTTTTAGGGGGTTATTGAGAGGTATTGTCGAAGCGAATTGTGAATAAAGTAGAAATATAGTTACACAATATGACTAAGATCGAGCGTCCTCTCGGGGCGGTCAGGATAGCGCGGTAATGGCCGCGCCCGTTCCGGCACACAGCGGAATGATTTACGAAGCGTCGCACCAATCTGTTTTGATGGGGATTTCTGCAAAAAACAATATACTTTTTTGTCATAATACATACAGTTTGTATGGAAGACATTATTTCAGGATAAAGTCGGCCATAGTTGTAATTTTTTCTTATTAACAATATAGATAGTCAGATAATAGTAAATATTATTATATATTTGCACAAAACTTTTCTTGTAATGACACATTTTCAAATCTACGTATCATTGGTGCATTTGGCTGCTATGCCCCGCCCCCTTTGCAAATGCGCCAATCGGAACAAAACATCCACTACAATAGTCTAGACTGTATTAAATAATGTGTAATCGCACTTACAGACCAAAAATACGGTACTTGCTCAGTACGGTAACCCCACAAAAACCACTCATTACCTGTACTAAAATATTGTTGTTTCATTATTAAGAATTTTGAACGCGTTTAACCGCAATATCATACAATGTTAATGATGCAGTTAATGTTACACTATTACTCGCAAGCTCATATAGTGCCTATTAACTCTACGACTTGAAAGATCTAATATGTCTCGGAAATTAAAGTTCCATTGTACTTATGTTTAAATTTTCACATTTACACACTATTAATATAATTATTGGGTGACGAGGCCTACTGAAGCCTAGCTAATTACCACATTATTTATATTTGGCCTGGACTTAACACAAATAATTTTATGGTAAATGAAAGTACCTACTTACCTGAGAGAGAGGTAAATATCTTATTTACCATAACATTATTCATGTTAATTTATCATTATATTTCGCCCATTTTACATAATTATAGGCTATATGGTATTGTGATGTTTAAGCTATATAATTGTAAAGTTTCATCAAAATCAGTTCAGTACTTTTTGCGTGAAAGAATAGCAAATATTCATCCATCTATACTCACAAAGATAATATAAATTCCATAACCTGAATCGATCTAAGACAACACAAAATGGATATTAGAATAATAATAGAATGTATACTTACGTAGGCGGCGTACTCCTTGACCTCGTGGTCGTTGGTGTGTGGCGGACAGACGCGGCCGCGCCAGAAGCAGTCCTGACACAGCGTGTAGTTGGCACAGCGAGTGCAGCGGTACCGGAAACCAGTCAGTGAACCGCGGCGACAAGCGCTGCACGCCAGCGGGTGTACCACTGTAGACAGCATCAAAAGCCTATATAAGGGTCCTGTCATTGTAGGTGCCTACAATTATACCCATATTAGTTTTATTGAGAGTTTTGGGCTATTGCCAGGTGCTAAGACAGTGCTAAAGCAATGCGACCTGCATAGATCTATTATGCTCGCCAAAGTTCGCTACCTATATTCGTCAGGGACATGAATTAAAGGATTATTCTAAGGAGCGATGGTATTATCTTCCCAGAATATAGTGTATACTTTCCATAAGAAATAATTCATTTATGTATGAGTGGGCTACTACCAAATAGGATGTGTAGTGGCGTTTCCTCTTCAGCTTGGCAAACTGTGCAGATTGTTGTTAAGTTCAGGCCTAATTTTGCCATGTGTTTATTCAATTTGCAGTATCCAGTAAGGGTCCTAGTCCTAATGAATATATTGTTTTTACTCAATAGTTTATTAGAGTATAGTACCCCTAGTAGTATGTATGTGCTATTTAGAAACATGTATATGTTTGTTAAATAAAATATAGCCCAAATCTTTACATAGTATAAAACAAAGTCATCGTCACTGTCAGTTCGGTTATATCTAATAAATTAAGCAACATATTTTAATGCAGTTTTCAGCAATAGATAGAAATTCAAGAGGAAGGTATATGTATAATACAAGCTTGTTGTAGTACAGAACAAGCCAAGAAATTAAGATTTGTAATGCGTCCGTGCGAAGACGGTATGGGAGCTAGATTTCTGTTAGCAGACTTAGTAATCATCTGCGTGGGTACTGTCTTGTATTTCAGTCGCTTAACAGCTTTCTAAGTAATCTGTTTTTTTTTGTTACACTATCAATGAAGATTATTATTGGCATAGGATAATATATAGAGTAATGAAATGGAAATAAATATGTAACATGATTAATCTTCCTAAAATAAATAAATGTAATTAAAATAAAATCATACCATTCTCGACGCTGGCAAGACGATGCAATAGTGGTAACCACACGAGGCAAGGCGGGCCAGGGTCCGACATAAGTGTGTCCAGGAAGTCGTTTACTGTTATTTTACCACTCTGCTAACAATGTGATAATAAAACTTATGTCATTATGTATTCATTATTAGTGTTAAAAATAATAGAAATATTAAAGTAACCCTTTTCAACTTTTTCAGAACTCAATGTAGGGACCACACTGTTATACAGTAGAGTGCCTACGTTAGTTCTAATAACATTAATAAGAAATTGAAAACACATCTAGTGTTCCTTTTATGGTGTAAAAAAGAAAGCACTTGAACTATATATCTGAGAGATATGGAATGAAATTCTGGCCGAAGCCCAGATTATTTAAATTGTAACACTATAGTTGATATAAAATACATAACTCTTAATGTAAATATAAGACTTAATTATATATAGATGAGTGTTAATTTTTATTAATTTTCTATACTGTTGGCTATACCCTAGGATAGATATACATTGTCATCTGTTGATGATGATCACAATGTTGAACACAACAATTGACATGCCCACATCTTGTTGGGTATATTTTAAAACAAGCGTTGATTTTAGGATATCTTTGTTTCCTTCATCAGTCAGTTGAAATATAAATTAACACAGGTTTTTTTTTGTTCACACCAGATTTTAAATCACAACCTTGTGGGCGTAATTTTCTATTTTAGATTAATATGCTACGACACTCATATTGAGTGATATAAATATATACCTGATTAAATATAGAGAGTGCAAGTGAGTCGTTGTAGGCGAAGGAAGGCGACTCGTAAACTGCGGCTGGAAGCGCTAACACCTCACGAAGATAGTCCGACAGTCTTTTCATTAACAAGTGGCCATTACCATCTGACAGCTGTGAGAATATATCTGTGGCAGAGATAAATAATATATTAACACTAAAATTACACAATTAATCTTCCACTCTCAATAGGTTATGGACCTAAGAAAATATATAATTATATACTCAGGACAATTCAAATTTAGACTAAAACTTAGCAGAGCTTGTATGGGTAATGAATGATTAATGAATGACTATCAGTAGTAATAAAATTAGTGTTGTATAATAGCAATTAATGCGTTAGAACCAGTAAAATCATATACTTAAATTATTTACAACTAGCTGTGCCCGCGACTTCATCCGCATGGAATTTAACTTTATTTTTCTAAAATAAAAGTAGCCTACGTTACTCCTTATTGCATTAGTTACCTGCCAAAAAGTCCCTTCAAAGTCAGTCCAGCCATTTCAGAAATTAGCCCGAACAAATAGACAGACAAAAATTGTAAAAAATATTATTTTGATGTAGGTATGTACCGCATTTATATTCATATGCACGTAGTAAAAAACGGTTATTTCTATATTACAAACAGACACTTTATTTATTACATATAAATAGATAACAACAGGACTTAGGGACACAATGATTTAATTTTTGGACATGACAATACATTTTTTTTCCTTAAACATATTTCTAGTTTATTCTAGATGCTAGAGTGAATGAAATGCATAATGTAATTAAACAATATGTAGGTGTATAAATAACTAATTTAAATATACTTTAATGAATTAATTAAATATAATTTAATTATTATGAGTTATTGACACGGTGGTCTTCCATTTTATACAAGACACTTACATCTGAGCTTATCCATTAGTTTGCCTGCGCACATCGTTGCGAGCGCCACTTTTATCGAGAAGACACGAATCTTCCCCACATTCTCACTGAAACAACAGAATATTCTTCTTTTATATTTAACTATCTTCTTTTATAAAACACTAAATGTTTTATGTTTATTTTTAAGTTCTATACTATATAGATAAAATATGCATAAATATATGTATAGTTTTATGATATGATTGTGTTTACACTGTATCATAATTAGAATCCACCCACTTTATAGAGTATCAAATATCTGATTATGTCATAACAAAATTGTAACTTTAAATATCTAAAAAATAACTGAGTTTTAACAAACTGTAGACTATTCAGTTAGTCAAAGAATCAATAGCCGAAGCAAATGAGGTCAGTAAATTGACATTCTTAAGAAAGTCTGGAATAACCATAAATTCCAGATAAATGAATATGTTAGAAGTATAGCCATGGTACACACTTATAACAGCTTGGTATAAAACAGTCAATGTAACAATTAGTCTGTTAACAATAAGCACTCAATGTGTGATGTTTATTCCACTCCATTAGTTATTCATATCAAATAACCAAGCTGACCTTATACTACAAAAAAAAAATGTATAATAATTCTCAGGTTACATTTGATTGTAGTTTATATTATGAAGAGTGAGAGATTGTATTTTGTTATAAGAAACACTGGATTCACTGTAGCTAATTCCTAATTTGAAAAGTATTCCAGAGTGACATAGGCAATATATTATGTTAATATATAAAAAAAAATATACACTACTATGCACTATTCCTTTTATAATTAAAAATAATAGATATTGTGACTACATACTCATTTATTATAATAATTACTTAATCCTGACATAAACAGAATACATTACTATTTAAAAAAAAAGTAAAGAATAAACTTTGAGAAAGACCTCACAATCCTATACATATATTCATCCATACATGATATGATATTCCTAAATTTACCCTTTTAAAACTCACTAATCCATGATACAGTAGTAAAGGTATTCTAACACAGAAAAAAGGTTATCAGGTATCTTTTTATTTTTTTAACACTTACCCAGTACTGTAAGCAGATAACAACCAATTTAGTAATAATGCTGAACATGCTTCAACGGACACCTGATGTGCTGGAGGAAGACGCTTGTTCAAATTGTGGTACAGCGATGACACTAGTGTTTCTAGACGTGTAACATTGACACATGCATTTGGTTCTAGCGTATTGAGAGCATTCTCACGGAACGCTTCTATAACATTCCATATATCTATTACATGTACTGAAATAGAAATAGACATTTTAGTAAATATTCTGATAACAGAATACATAGTGAAGAATTCCAGGATACTTAATAAAGATTTGACCAAAGCCTTTTATATAGAAAAGGCCCATTCTTTTGTATATTAGATATTTATGTATATTATTTAAAGTTTTACAGTAATAAGGTACTGAAATGGTTATAAAGTTATATTATTTTTGAAACATATATAGTTTTTCCACTAATAGGTATATATATTTATAAAATATCAGTTATAAGTTGTTCATAATAACTGTTAGTTTATATTGTTGTGACTGGAGCGAGAACACAAAAACTATTAATAAAAATATTTAATAATTGTAATAAATGTGTATATTTCCCAAAAGGGCTCACAACAAAAAGTAACAACAGTTAGTCAAAAGTGACATATAAAAAAACAGATATCAAAGATACAAAGTTTACAAAAAGAATGGTAGACTAGATGCCAACAATAAGTGTAGTGATGCAAATCTGAATTATATAAATGTGAATTACAACTATACAAAATATATAATATATGTATAGAACTAACTTAATAGTCAGTTAATAAAATGTGAATTCAAATATTTTGTTTTTGTTTTATATAGTTTATACCATGTTTTTTATAGAAAAATAAAATATATTAATTAATTAATTTAAATTTATCTCAGTCTTGAAATGGATATTATGTTGAACTCACTAATAATACAAGAAATACTATTGCGTTGCTTCTCCCACAGCCATCATAACTTACTCTCCTCTTATGCATAGCATCTTTCACATACTACATCCATCGTTACTATTAAAAAATTACTATAAATATGAATATTTATCTAAATGGTGAGATATTTAATACAAAATAAAATTTATAGTTAATTTCACTAAATGGATTGGATATATGTGTAATATGAAGTATAATATGATTTGTAGTACACAGACAAATCACATTTCATATTACACATATGATGCATGATTATTAATAAGCATTCAATTATTATAACTTACAGTTGCATTTCTTCTGAACATAACGGAGTTTGCATGCTGTTCTATATGATGCAAATCTTATCATATCGAAATTATGCTCCCTCATCTCTTGCAGCAGCTGTGACCTGGGATCATTTGAGGATCCCCCCACGCTCATACTAGGTCCCACACTCATGTTATCACGTTCAAGAGACATGATGGTTTCTGAAATGTCGTTTTAATCTCTTTAAATTGTAGATACGTTTATGATATATTAAAGTTGATGATTGTAACTGTTAAGACATGTTAATTTTATGTCGCAGATTAACACTAGCTACAGATGAAAATACAAACTCAGATCGCTCCATCCGTATCAGTAATTTACGAACGCAAATATGTACACTATATAAAAATATTAGTCATTTATTAATCTAAAAAAAAACGTGACTAATACACAACGATATATTCTCACCTTTTGTGAACAATTAAACAGTCAGCTCATAACTTTGTTGACATAACGTTAATTAATTCAAGATAAACTTGATATAATTTCGTAGTTTATAAATCGATTCAAGATTTTGCTAGCGACCATTAATTATTTTTATTTTTAGTTATATCATGCGGTACAAACTTATTTAAATACATGAATACCGCTGAGTCACGAACTGTATTTTTACATTCTAGTTTACAATTGTAAATAAATTAGAAATTTTAATAATTTAAGAAAAGCGGACAATTCGTGATGAAAGTGAGATTCAGTTGACAGACTGCCATTGAAGTAGCGTTTCTTTTTACGTAATATCTATTTTAGTTATCGAGGTACTGATAGCAGGTTAATTAAATATGCCAATTTTGAATAATTACACAAAAAATGTATTTGTGTAGCAATATATTTCTTTTTTAATTAATATTTTGTAATGTATCAAAAAATACAATTACTTAGTTGGATCGACAGTTTCCATCAAGTGGATGATATGTGCCTGAAACGGAACAGAAAGAAATCCGTAGACTAAATGGTCCATAGACTTTATTCGACAAGTTTTTAAAGGACAACGAAATTATTAAATACTGTCCGATTAAATTAAGTCTTCAACGGTTGTTATGTTCTTTTTATTCCGAACTGCAGTTATTGATTTATTTATTCGTGTTCATTCATCTTTTAGCTGTAGACGATGAGATCATAGTCTAGAATCTATTTATATCATCGTCATCATCAGTAATGATCAACGTCTGCAAAACCAAATAAACAAAATTTATTTCAGATCGTTAATTGATCATGACATTGACGATGTATATACAAATCCACAACCACCTAATAGTTAGGTACGAACAGACGTTGTTCAGATAGTCACGCTATTATATATCCCTCATACTCGAAAACGAGTGCTGCTTGTAGATTCAGCTCTAATCTAGTGACTGAATCACTCTTATTTACTTACTCAACCACTTGGGAGTATATTTAATATTTACTCTATTAGAGTATTTTATTGAATCATCATCTATATAGGTATTAGTATTAACAGCACCAAGGAAAAAATCATGTAACTCCTATAGTAACAGTAATTTGATTTTTGGGCATAAGACATTGAGACTAACAGTTCAATTCAATGTAGCAATGTGATTTGTTGATAGGGTATCAAAATCACCGATATATGAAATCGTCATTAGTTCTTGGTGAAATCAATTGATAAGCTCTCGGTGGTATACAGATGTAGCACACCGCTTTATGGATGGTCGCGGGTTCGATATTTCGCATGAAACATAATTAATGGGTATGATTGTTTATATTGGTCAGGGTTTTTTTCGCATAATATTTACTATTTCTATCAGTTGTCTAATATGCATAACACACAAACTATGGTTTGAGACTAATCATCTCCCACTGGAGCTAGCATACGGCGTTACCGCCAACAGATGTACTACACCAATATAATTCACTAAAAACAACTCTTGTGTTGTTATTTTGGAACACTAACGTGTCATATCGTACCCTGTAATTTCACTGCCATATCTCAACTAAAACACAGATTACACAGCAAGCTGCTTTGGTTTCGAATTGGTGAGACAGAAGTCCTTGAAACTTAGTTCTAAAGCTGTTGCTTCAGTGTAAATAAAGAAAAAAAGGTCGTGAGAGGTGAAAACGGAAGATGAAGGGTTGTATAGAAGTATCGTTATTTTTTGGTTTGTTAATTAAATATAAATAAAGAAAAAAGAGTTGTAAAGGGTTACAAGGGGAGATAAAAGGTTGTATAGAAATATCGTCATTTTTAAAGCTAGAAACTTAAAATTTATATTTTAGGCTAGAACCCAGATGAAACTTTTTTATGTAGCTTTTTTTGCGTTACATTATTAAATGTTTTTTTCTTTATTTGCTCAAGGACACTATTCCATAGGGATGCGAGTTGCGGGCACAGCTAGTAGTCAATAATTGACACAAATAACACACAGTTAAACTAACACATTTATTATATAAATGAACACAGTTTACATTGATTCTTACTAATGTTTCCAACGTAACTATTTTTATTTACAATGTTCTATTAACTTATCGCACAAAACATTTCTTTACAATATATAATTTATTTTTAACTCGCCTGGAGCATTCTCATAAAATATATTTTCAATAAAATAAATCTCCATAAATATAATAATACTAATAATATATCTACTTAAATAATTTTACTAAACACTTTCAGCAAAAAATACAAAATGGCGGGATTTAAAAAGACTTCTACTTTTTACCTAATAATAATCTAATATGCTGTTTATTTTTACTGCTTAAATATAATAATATATTTTATACATTTCCTTCTGAATTAAATACGAAGTAATCTCGGCTCTACACGTACAACAGCACTACAAGGGAAAAGGGTATCTATTTTACATTAATTTTAAGTAACTATTTCTAATGCGTAATTTTCATGGACCTACTATACATCTAATATGAAGCTATATCATAGAAACATCGTCTATTTAATATATAAAAACAAATTTCAAATTGATAATAAAATCTCGTTGGCATGCTATACACACATCATTTTTCATACCCATATGGGTTATCTACGAATGAAAAGACGTATTATTTCTACCTACTAAAAATGATCTTACATTCTCTAATAATAAGGAGGTATTACATTATCAAATGTTGGTACATATAAGCACAGTGTATAATTTTTTGTAAATAGCGTAAATTTCTTTAGGTTTTTAGAAACTGCATCGATTATACAATGTTGATTATATTTAGGTATTTATGTATTTGATATTGTAATACTTTCCCTAATAGTGACCTCAAAGGAGCATTAAATTACAAAATACAAAATATCTAAATAAAAAAAACCTAAATTCTCCTAATATAAACTTGATACAAAAATTTATTAATAAGTAGATAACTAATTAATTATTCTCTTCGATAAAACAATCACAAAACATTTTCATTTCTACAATATGGATTTGTTTTAGAATTTTAAAATTTTATTGCAACGCATTAAAATAATGATAGAAAATAATTATGCAATCTATAATTATGTTATAAGGAGATAAAGAGAGAGAGGATTTTGTTATGGAAAACTGGGAATCAACTGCTTTCTTAAAAGATCTTCTTGCACTGTTTATTAGGTAAGATATTTACCAGAATAACTATATAGAGAAAGCTATATATACATAATTAATAAAATTATGAATATTTAGGCTAAGCCTAGGCGCGCCACTAGTAATATCGCCTTTATAAAAATAAGGCCCTATCATATTATTTTAAAACTAAAACTGCAAAGAGAAAACCTATCTGTTAGTTATATATTCCAGTATAATTTTTATTTAAAAAGTTTACTTATATATATAATTCTACCATATTCCTCCGAAACGATTTTTATGAAATTTTATATCCATATTCAGTAGGCTTGAGAATCGGCTCGTCTCTATTTTTCTAAGAGATAAAGGTTGTCCAACCCTAACATTTTTTTATAATGTGGCATTAAAAAATACATACAAGCCTAAATTTTCACCCTCGTATCACCAACCCCTACTTTTTAATAGCGATTTTAATTTATATGGCAAACCAACGTTTGCAGTGTCATCTAGTTATATATAAAAATATTCTAAATATAATTCTTAAAAAATTATATGAATATATATTGTCTACTATATATTTATCTATTATTGTAGATATGTGTACATTTTTCAGGTATAAATACAGTTTGATTAAATTGCTATAATACAAATTTATTGTATTTGTCACAGATTTGTTCGCGATTTGGTCCAAACTAGGTCGAACCAACATTTTGACATTCAATAATATTTAATTTAAAGTCCTAACAAAATTAAGACAGGTGAGTGTAAGTACCTAGCCGTATATTGTTAGTAATGGGGACTATCGAACCTGACATGTAGTCAGGTTGACTTCCATGTTATTCCCCCTAGAATCAAACGTGGTAAATTCATAGCGAATCAACCACGCTGTAATGGGCTAATAGAGCGGCCGCATACAACCGATTAATCGTCAGGTTGTCATATAGCGAATAAGGTTGCTCATAATGGTATTCGAGGAACCTGATGACTAACCGACTGTCTTACACCAGCCTTAGAGCAACATAACGACTGATGATTATATGCTGCATACATATATACATATATATGCAGTCGCTTTAACTTGACCGATTGATCTGAGCTTGTAGGTACCTACCACCAGTTCATTGATTGATTTTTTTATATACCACACATAGTAATAATTAGTACATTTAGCACTTAATCTAGCTAGATGTATGTACCTGCTAAATTGATTTTTACACAGGCTGATTTAGCCCTTATAACTATCTTTCAAACTACAACTACCTACTACTACTTATTGTTAATGAGATGCGACAGAGATCTATTACCTACTGTATTTTCTATACTTGCTGCTTCGAATGGCGTATCGATCCCGTGGTATTGAAACTCAAAACATTTCTTTTTCTTTCAGTTATATTTATATTCTAATTATAGATATAATAGAATTTCAAAAGTGAATAATTTACATCACTACAGACTTCTACATCAATTTTTTAAATAATTAGTAAAGAAGTTAACGGTGATGATAAGTGGTAGCCATCGCCTATATATATATCAGATTATGACGAAGATACCACTTAGGCGTTGCTATTCCGGCGGAGTAAGACGTCATGCCTCTTATCCTGTAATTTCACTCCTTTCAACAAAACCCCTAGTCCACCAATTTCACCTAGCAGCTTGCTTTGTAAGCTATTTGGTGTTGTTAACTTTATAAAACTTCATAAAACTATAATATAAATAATAAACAATAAATATATACTTTATAAAACTTCTGTCCACCACCAAGGACAGGAGTTTTAGAAAGTTGACTTTTATAAAGTCTACGTCGTTTAATTTTTTAATTATGATTACGTTTAGGTATTACGGTATGTTATTTTTATCTAAGTTTACAGCGTTCATAATTTTGTCTTTACTGACACTATTTCAAAGCGGTTCATACAATAGCTTATTTATTAAAAAGATAATTCTTAACAATAATTCTACTCGTTTTTTAACCGAGTTAGTTTTAAATTTATACGCACAAATTAAATTAAATTTATAACCACTATGGTTATGTTACATTTATTACGAATACGTATTTGTAAATTAATTTATAATTTTGTCGTGTTCACATATTTTGATGCTGAAAATAATTTAGTGGACATACTTATTGTAATATTAGAAAAAAACTAACGTCAACCACGCGTCAAGACTAGAAGATACTAACGATAAAAGTAGGTAACCATTTCTTTCGTAATACAATTTTGGAATATATTATACGACATCTAGAATCGTCGATATTTAAGTAGTTCTAAGATTTTCTATTCTATTTAAAATTAAACGTAGAGCCAATGCCGCCAAGTAAAGCGAGTGACTGGAGCTCCTCCGCGGATTGCTTCATGCTCTGATTCTGGAGATATACAGCAGGCTATGCGCTGGAACAATTATTGAAACATTAAAATGTATACTTTTAATTATTATTACTATGTTTTTATGACCCTACATTAATAAACAAACTGACACAAACTGATAACCTAGGATAATTCACACAGCGTCATCTAGCCACAAGCTAAACAGAGCATATGTTATGAGTACTAGACAACTGATACATAATGACAAATAATTAAATATATATTTTTTTAATCAAACTCACAAATATAAATTTATGCATCATGAGGAATGGAACCCGCGACCATCGGAAGTAAAGCGGTGTGTTAAACCGCTAGACTACTGATGCCGCCTATATACATGAACAGCAACAGAACTACTTGTCTTGGCACCCGTCTTATCCCAACAGTCATCGTCTTATACTGTTACCTACCTGCCGGCAGGTTCCTGGTGTGGTTACGATCTTGTACACAGCGACGATGGGTATCATCAGTATAGAGGAGCACGCCAGTCCCCAGCCGAGCACTACAGCCCACGGCGGGTATGTGTAGTGTTGGTACTGGAGCGGTTGTTGATACAGCAAGCCGAAGACCACTACGCCCTGATGCAGTAAGGTTTGTATGTTTGGATGACTTTGTTTACCGTACGGTATTGAAATGTAGATATATAAAGTGTGGAATGCATGCATGTGGAATAAAGTATGATATAAAATGTAGGTAATAATAATAAACTCTTTATTAGAGTAGGATAAGAAGAAGAAAAAGGTACATGAAAGAGATTCTATTAATATTACAATAGTTTTTTTTTGACAACAGCATATTACCTTTTTCTCTCAAATATTTTTAAAATTACCTTTTGTTACAAATAAGTAATTTTGGATTATAATATTTTTTGATCAAAAACTATGCGTTTCCATTTATACTTCCAATTCTCTGGTAATGCAAAACACCGATAATCTTCCACATTAAACCGAAGGACTGTGGTCGACTCTTCTCCTACCACAGACACGAAACAACGTGGCTTTTGGGATCAAATATGCAGCGAAATGTAGGCATGTCAAATGATAAGTCACAGTTGACAATGCCTCCGACTACCCCATCTAGGATAACTGCCGTGAATTAATATTAATTTATTTTTTATTACTTACAATTATAAAAGTAGGGCTGACAAATTTCCAACATATTCTCCAGTAAATCCCGGGTCTAAATCCAAGCATTTCTTCCACGTCATCAGAAAACCTTTTCAATCCTAAAACAAACCTTTTTATTAATAACGAAAATTCTAAGACTTACTGTTCAATAATAAAACGATTTAATGAACTTTCCAAGGGAAGCAAAGGAACACGCTGGTTAAGTTGCAGCAAAAATATATATTAGTAAAAATTTGGACAAATGAAATAAAGTTTATAAAAAGAAAAATTTTACGCAATTAACAGAGTCTTACCATAAAACCATGACACAGCGACCGCCTCAAAGAGTGCTGAGCAAAGCAGGGATATACCAGCTGCATACGTGTCCAGTAAGTGGAACATATAGATGCCACCCTGAAAAATATGACAAAAACAAGTTAAATAGCAACTCTTAAAGATTTTTTTCTAGTTACACCCTTTTTTTCCATAGACTGAAGGTCCACGCTCTTTTTGCGTTTTATTTTTATGTCCATTTTTTTTTCCTCGGTTTTCTTGCTCCACGAAAATATGTATTATGGCTTCCCGTAGTTTATCATTTATACAACTCCCCTATTACACGAAATCGCCTATAGATAGTAATAGTTCTTAGAGAGAGCGAATTTTATGTGTGTGATTTTTTTAATGTAATTGAAATTGCAAACAGGTTTACGGCGCACATGTTAAACGGCATAATTGGATATCAACCAACGACTATATAAGCTATTGAACTACACTATGGACATCACGTTATCATGTGACACCTGCGATACCACTAATTCCTAAGATGACATGCCTCTTACAATTTATTAATAAATTAATAAAGTAATTTAATATACCGAAACACAGCTTATAAAGTAAGCTGCTTGGTGGTTGTATTTCATCCACCTAGCAGCTAAGGTGAAGACTAGTACTTTTTAAACCAGAGACCACTGCAGACCACTGCATCATCATTTATCCCATTTTTAGGGGTCGACGCTATATATAATATTATAAGAAAACATTACCGGTGTTACGTTGATGCAAGCTACGCAGAACGATACGCAGACAACAAACAGAGTGAAGTGCTCTCGACGTAGCCAGTGCGCTCCACTAGCCCGAGCTTGGTCCAGTAGACCTGTGATCACACACTCCAGACCTCCCATCTGATGAAAACAATTAAAATTTTATATATATTTAGGAATATACATAGGAATGGGAGAAACGTGGAACAACCCAGTGACGTCACAGTGTGTGATGTGCTCATGATGTGAATGCAGTGCATGTGATAATTAATGACTAAGGCAAGCATCTTTATCTTCATATTTATCATCTTTACTTAAAAAATAAGCATAAAATAATAATTAGGATAAAGCTAAGTCTGTTTCAGTCAATTGTCATGTTCCACATAAAAATGGTTGAAGGAATTACAATCCAAATTTCACAGAAGATGTTGTTATGAAGTGCGTGCATTTTGGAAATTTGTATTAATATCAATAATAAGATATGTAACAACAATAACGAATTTAAAATAAATTACCCCAGAATCCAAACCGAGCATGATCAGCATAAAAAAGAATAGCATAGCCCATAAACTAGCTCCTGGTAGAGTTGCAACCGCTTCGGGGTACACTTGGAATACTAGTCCCGGTCCTGAAAATAATAATAAAGATAAGATGAAATTTCTAAATATTTTCACCCTATTTTTTTTATAAAAACCACAGATAACATAATATAATAAAAATTGACAAGTAAAATTGTTTAGCTTTGCTAGTGTTAACATAAAATCAGTAATTATATTACCTTCTGTAGCCACAGACGATATCGGCACACCCTGTTTATGGGACATAAACCCCAAATACGTGAAGATCACGAATCCGGAGAAAAATGACGTGAAACAATTCACAAGGGTAGTCACCAAGCAATCTCTGAAAGTAAAAACCAAAAATTAATTAAACAGTCAGACTGTTTAATTTTATTTTATTAGATACTTTAAGTTCATTAATTTTAATAATTTTATAATAGGTCAATTAATTTTGTTTAATATTGTGGAGTAATTAATAATAAACATTATAATTGTGATCCTTAAAGACGCCTACCCGATAAATGTACGTACATACATAATATATGTATGTAAATTAGTAATTACCCATTTATAAAAGAGTCAAACGTACCACAAAATAATTGTTCTTTTCTCTCCTGCCGTTTTCGCCATTTGAAAGAAAGTGACAAAACACTCCAAGAATTAAAATTAATTTGTTTGAGGCTTTAGTTTTAACGTAAAAAAAAAGTGTACACTAAAAGTATTTTTTTTTATGCTACGATGGTGACAAAGAAGCATACGGCCTTTCTGATGGTAAACGGTTACTGTAGCCTATAGACGCCTGAAACACTGACCTTTGAGGAACCTTAATAATCTCTTCTTGAAAAATAAAGCTAAGTAGTTATTGAAGTACCTAAGCACTTACGTTATTTTAGTGGATCCAAAACAGAAAATATATTCAAAACAATTATTACCTGTAACAGTTATTGTGAAAAGTATTGTAGCTCGCATATGACAGATGAACTCCAAAACCGGCGCCGACTGAGTAGAAGATCTGAACGGCGGCATCTACCCACACCTGAAATAGTTATTGTATTATATATTCTACACTAGTCTCCATTATTTAGGTAAACGCGGGCGGATAAACTATTTTACAACACAATCGTATTCCTCTGTTATCTTGGATTCATACGAGAGTCTATTTATTCCACAAAATTTACATTTTATACATATATATATCCTTTTGTTGATATAATTATTTCAAAACATATAAGGATTCAAATGTCATACAAAATTAGACGTCTCACATACAAAATTGACAAATGAAAAAAGACCTTAGCGACCTTTCGCTATGCCTATTATGTGTTTCTTTTTCTTCCTTTATTATTCTTAAAGAAGTCATTAAAATTTGTTTAATTTTGGAGAAGAAATATTTAAATAAGGGAAGAAATAATTTAATAAGAAATATTATTAACTAAGATATGAAATCACTAATTCCGCTGTTTATACGGGTATAATCAGACCGAGCTGCAATTGTCCCTTTCGATTTCGTAAGTGAAATATGGGGTGGAATGGGAAATGTGTAAGGATATACCATCGAAAAGTGTGGACACAGCTTAGGTCTTCAAGGTTACTGAGAGGTCTCAGTACTACAATTGTTAAATACTTTAGATGATTTAGATGCCCGTGATTCCTCTGTTTATATTTTTTGCAATAGTAATCATATAATAAATGCATATTAATCGCAAGTAGAAAAAACCTCCTCCAAAAGAGTCTGTCTCTTGAAACTGTACTCCATACTTTTCTCGATATTTGTACTATGTCGTCGCACGATTTTTTACTTCATCTGCCTGATCTGCGTTTTCCATCTGTGGGATACCAATATGTAATTATTTTTGCTCCCAATGTACTAGATATATACCTGAGTATCCTTTAATCTAGTCAGCTCAGGCTGCAAGTAGTAGGCGATGCCTCGTGTAGCGCCCGGCAATAGAAGTCCCCGCGCAAGCAATATGGAAAGTACCACGTAAGGCATGGTAGCAGTCATCCACACCACTTTACCTGTACAGACGTATTTTCAGCTTCAAAATGTACGCGAGAGGGGATTATTAGTAAAGGGAATAGTAATCACATAGCTAGCGACACCATGTCTAGTCAACCTCCACGCGGTTCCCCTGGTTGATACCTGAAGAATCCCCCGCAAACGTATATCACATAATCCATACTCAATATAAAATATCAAAACATCAACAAATTACAGAGTTTAGCTTAGACCTTCATGGGACGAGTCGATTGTGAAGTCAACTGACTACCCACTGAGCCACTATATTGCAACTCATATAGATAATATGTAAAGTATATTGATAGAAGTAAACATGTTCCAATTATTACAAAAATCAAATTTGAAATACCTACCTGCCAAATGGATATTATACAACTTCAAATATTGTTATAACTCAGTCTAGTGCCACTACACACACACACATGTGCCACTGTATCGTGGTAAAAACTAGACTGAAACTGATAGACCTTGTTCTTAGTGTATCAAATATATTTTATTAATGTATTTACTGCAATATAATAATATATTTAACTATGGGAGCCAACGGAATATCAGCGCTGTAAAGCTACAGATAAATCTGTAACTAGTGTAGCTTTATGCTGAGTTGGCTGCCTCTTGATCTTTGCGACACCAAACCAACTCCATTTTTTAATTTGTATTTCTTTATCTCATTTATGTTATATATTTGTAATTGATGATTAAGGCATTTATCTATCTATCTTATTAATAAAATATATATATATGACAACTTTCACTAACCTGAACTTTTAACGCCTTTAAAAAGAGATAAATAGAGTGTAACATACACCAAACCCAGACAGATTGCCAGTTGCCATTTTGGAAAGCCTAAGTCGTTCAAGCCCTCTGAATGTTGCATCTCGAGGACAGCACGACTGTAATAGAATAGAAATTAAAATTAGCAACGAGTTATATCTGTCTCACCTATTTCAGTTGATTAAGGTCAAGTAGCTTCTTTTTTAAGCTGTGTTTCGATTCTAAAAACACATGGCGGCAGGCAGACGATGTTGTCAAATATCAATCACAGTTTAAAAAAAATAGTTTTTGTACTGTGATATTTATACCTATATTGTGCTGTATTGCAAGATGATTATTGAACACTTTTTTAAATATACTGACAAACAAGCTGCCGTCCCACCTGACGGTAAAGTGCTATCTACATATAAATTACGTCACAACTTGAAGAAGGGAGGTCGAGACAGTGAATATTATGTGACTAGCAGGAGCTACATTTCGTGACGTCATATTTCAATATCAAATGTATAATTTTGGGCCAAATTTCAAACTGTGTCGTCAAACTAGGAGGCCGGAATCTTACAGATATGACTATGATAAGGATCCTATCAAAAATCATGAAACTTATGTAACGTAATTCATGTGAATAGCTCCTAAGTAATAACTAACGCCTATAGACATAAACAGCAGTAATAACGTGAGAATTGAACCGATTACTTACTGAAAGAACTCCGAAGCGGGCGTGAAATGCGAGAGAGGGCCCTGGTACTTAATGTCATCGGTTTTGTTAGTGCCATTCAGCCGGGAGGCGTCCCAACACTGTTCTGTGTTCCATGCATTATCACAATGTACCCACGGAAGCTCAGAGCGCGCTGATGACATCAGGAAATAGAATGCCCAACCTGTTGAACAATTTACACTGTAATTGTTACGTAACCCTTATGGCACACTAACTCTATCCCGAGGAAATAAAAATCATCGCTCCTTAGAATATCCTTCAATTCTTATCCCTGACGGGTCTAGGAAGCGGACTCTGCAAAAGGGCGAGCACAATAGATCTATGTGGGTCGCAGTGCTACAGGTCCAAGGACCTGACAATAGCCGAAATCCCAAAAAAAAAACCCTTATGGTCAAACAAACTGGTTTACCTGATGGAAAGTGGCAACCAACGCCTAAAAGTATAATCACGAACATGGACATCACGTCTTTAGGTGACATGAGCCTATAACGTTACTAATTTTGATAACTGAGACGCTCCTGTGTCTGACTTAGCTCTGTAGCTTGTAAATTCAGTGTTATAAACCCTCAAAATGGATACATAGTTTCTAAAACGTTACTTGAATGCAAAAATAGGTAGAACTTATACAATGGTTTCTATCCAGATGATTATAACCAATAAAAATTATTATAGCGTTTTAAATTAGTTAAAAATGGCCTATATTTCTGTTACTTAATGGATTTATATTATTTCATTTAATTCATGAGGCCATAAATATTCAGTGCGAAACCTGACCATCACTACTTAATGGAACCTGTCCAAAATGTTAACCTGACCATCACTACTTAATGGAATGCGACACATGGAAGCGCAATTAAACAAAATAATTAGGGAATGAAGTAGACTTCCGAAAAATAACACGTAATTTGATAAACCATATAAAGAACTATATTTCTATACCGACATCAAAGATTTCTTTGGATTACTCTAATGCTGTTAGCCGCAGCTGGCCTTTAGTGATTCACAGGACGATAGCTTCACCTGCCTGACGTTACGACTTTAGTCTAAGTGTACTGCTAGGGGTTCAAATCTAGGCTCTGACCATCGTAATTTCGATCCCCGTTTGAATTTGATGGGGAATAAATCAGAGAGTCTACATCAAAAATTAAACAAGCAAGTTTTACTTGTGATTTTTTTCACATATTCACGCTTTATATACATTCAATATTTGAATCGATTTACAAGGTTGATTGGGCTGTAATCGAGTTGCTGTTGATAAAATTTAATATTTATCATATGGTCGCAGTTTGGCTTGCATCCAAATTGATATTTCACCAAACATACGTTCGTTGAGTAACGAAATAGGATTTATTATCAAAATTTTAAACAAAACTTACCGATTATAACGTTGTAGTAAAATGAGACGTAAAACGCTACCATCACAGCACAGAATCCAACACCTGAAATATATAAGTTTCACTTAAAAAATTCAAATCTACGTCCTTAATCTAACAGCTTGTTTGTTCATTTCATGCGAGTACAATAAATCGTTACTCTGAGGACGAGAAAACTCTCTCTCTCAAAAAAACAGTATAATATTTCTAGAATAGTATTAAATACATTTAATTATAACTTACAGTTTCAAACGAACAAAGACGTGTGAAGGTAGACGTATATGTCTGTCAATAAAAGATTTTATAGCATTTAACTCTACATAGCATTTATCTACTTCACTACAGCTCTACAGTTTACCCGTGATCAAGACGGTTAAAATATCGAGAATTCGATAAAAATAAATAAACCGTGCTAAGATTCCGTGATTTCTCCTAATTATACGTATGCGATAGTAACAAATATTTTACCTTTAAACAATGGGCAAATTTTCCACAATGTTATCGGCCCTTGACGATTGTACTGCCCAAGTATCAGTTCCATGTAAAAGAGAGGTACTGCCCCGAAGATCAACATCAAAGTGTATGGAATGAGGAAGGCACCTATGAAATGAAAACATTTATATACAGTGAGAGGTATAAAACGAGAGTAGTTTGCAGTGAGAGAGAGTTTGTAGTAAGACAACACGTGTATTTATTTTTTCTTCGTGTACACGTGTAGCGGCATGTAGTGGAATCTTGACTTTTTTATAATAAAATTAGTTTATACTACTATATTTTACTATATTTAAAAATCATATTCTAAATATTGTAAGTTTCTTTATAGGTATTAAAAATATATGTAATTTTGAGTGGGGGTGGGAAATGGTTAGTCAAAAAATCACCGCGTCCCCTTGATCGTATCATCAAGAGGAAACCGTGGGAGGTAAAAATGCGTAAAAACATCAGGTGGACGCTGGCAGCAGCTGATGTAATATTCTATATTCAAAATTATTCTTTATTTCTTCTACTGCTACAGAAAAAACATTACATACCCCCTCCGTTTCTGTAACAGAGGTAAGGAAACCGCCACACGTTGGCCAAATCGACTGCGAAGCCGATGATGGAAAGCAAGAAATCTGCACCTGTCCCCCACGTCTCTCGACCATCGTTTGGTTCTGAAGTGTATAAAATTAATAATTTCGCTGGCGTCACTTAAGAGACAACATTATTACAATACAGAATCAACATTTTTCATTATGCTATACTTCTATTGGTTATAGCATGATATTATATAGCCTATAGCTAATCTCGATAAATGGGCAATTTATAATATTAATTAAAATAATTTCACAATTATAATATATCCACTAGTTCCTGATATTAGCACATTCAATCAATAAGTATTGAACAAAACAATGTACATATACCAAATGAACTTGTATGAAAATAAAAAAAAAAATATTTTTGAAGATTTCTTAAAATCAGTAATGTATGTAATTTATTATGATCATGACATAATAAGTACACATAACTATTAGAAAATAACACAAAATGCATATGATGTAGTTGTCTCAAGAGTTAGATTTTTAGTAACAAATATAAAATCTAGAGTCACAGCTAAAATAATGTATAATGTAATGATGTGAGTCACGACTAATATCCGAGATGGGGTAGTTAGAAGTCAGAAGAACTGTCGATCGTGTAGTGAACGCAATACATGACATGCCCACATTTCACTCGTGGGCTCGTCATCTTGAATACAACGTGGCAGGGGGCAAGCCTACCGCTGACCTTATCGTCGGCGGTAAATCTAATTTTGCATCCTATTTTTATTAAATCATCACTATATCTCACAATTACATTGTCAGGTGGAAAATACATTCCACACATGGCAAAATTTACCAAGAAATATTTTGTTTTAGAATGATTGTACATAGATCATACTAACAATATAAACGCGAAAGTTTGTGCGTATGGATAAATAAATGGATGTATGGATGTTTATTACCCTTTCACGCAAAAATGGATTTTTATGAAAATTTACAGCAATATAACTTATACATAACAACAATAAATAATGCGAGTAACATGGTGATTGTTATAGTACTAATCATAGTATACAATTTGTTAATATAATAAATGAAATAACTACTGATGTAGTACACGTAAGAACAATTGACCCTAATGTTTGTCTGAGAAATAGTGTCCTATTAATACATTAAATTTTAAGACTAAACAGATTGTAAAAATAAGATAGTAAGATTATAATGTTGAAAATGATATTTACCTGCTTTGATGCTATTAGCACGGATTCTTTTAGAGTTTTCGTTATAGAAACATTCCTCCTCGATTTGGATTTTCGGCTCCTCTGAGGGAAAATTTGTAAATCAAATTCGTTTTCACAATCTTATTTGTTAAGAACTATCTATCTAATAAATACTAATAAACCGATAGGATATTTATTTCCTTTCTTGTTATCTTCGACTTTCTAAAATTGTTATATGTATGTTATGTTTGTAAGCAATTAGTAATAAGTTTAATTGTAACTGATTGCTACATTATTCAACATATAATACTTAATAATGTCTGGTACGTAAATTACCGTTTAGTAATTGGTAATATTATCACTGATTCTCATAAAAACTATATAAGATTCCTTCAAAATATAAATTCTCTGTATGGTAATCAAAGGCATACGCAACAAGATAACATTTCACAAGTCTACAGTCACTTTAATTTTTTAAATCCTACATGGAAGCTTAGTTAATGCCGATGTTCCTTCAATGGATTAATTTGATTTGTTATCTCCTACGAGTGCTGAAGCGTTAGACTAAATATAATTTGAAAAACAAAATTTCTAACACTTAATCGTTGTACTATGGTGTCTTGATCTATAAGTTTTAGTAATATAAGGACTTTCAGCGTCGTAGCTCAGTAGCTTCGACGCTCTTAAAATATCTGTAGGTACATAAATAGATTTATTTTTACATACTTTTGTAACATGATAATGTCACTACGGATCCTTTTGTTGACTTGTGATCTGTAATAGAAAGTAGAGATTAGTAACTAATTAAATAAGGTAAAGTAAAGTATAAGGTAATTTTGCCAAGTTTTATCTATTATAAAAAAATGCATTTGCTCTAAGAACTATTCTGTCCAAAGTATACTTATGCAATTTTAAATAACAAGAAAGTTCTATTGTCAGTAACTATATGAACTGTATATATAATAATATTAAATATATTATAGGTATCCCACAGTAATTACAATAACATAAACCATCTTGGGCCATTAGTTTGCCTTTAAAAATCGTTATGAGTCTATTCCTACGAATAAGATACGTACTTACTCTAGTAATTGGGTATTTTCTACAGATAATTTCCTAATTTATCTTTGTACGTAATATAATATGTACCCGTGCACTGTCAGGATAGATCATAGGTCTAGGTATACCTACTAATATTATTAAGAGAGAGAGAAAATTTTGATATGAATGATAAGAAAACAAACTCCGAAACCACTGCATCGATAAGAGACAAAATTTTACTATTTTTAAAGTAAAATATTTTACAATGAAATATATAACATTTTTCGTCTAAGTCAGACAGCACCCGGGCAAAGCCAGGCCGGGCACTAGTACTAGATAAAAGGCTAAATACCTCCGTGTCGATAGCCGATGAGTTTCCGATAACTGGCCACTGTCCCCCATTTCCGCGCACAAATGCCCTTCATTCACTCGCGTCTTAATAATGCCCCGGAATTCGGCCTGGTTTCCCGCATAATGGCATGCCGGTGCGGAAAAATTTCCCAATAATTCCGCAAGGTGCCGACTATCGGCATTCAAAAATGAAGGCGACGGATTCCGCGCACTTCGGTATTCATCGATAATTTGAATTTTAAGAATGCGTTTCATGTTTATTTCTTTATAGCTTCACTACGGAGATGATTTAATTCTAGGTGATGAGATGTCTTTGTCTATTATATGTATACCATACTTTTATCCGCGAATTCTTTATCCACAAACTGAAAGTGTATGGATAAAGAATCCCCTATTAAAAACTCAAAATATAATCCTATTATTATTATATTATATATAAGGTATTAAGGATTTGTTCATTTGCATTATATCATACAAGCTTTTCTTGATAATTCGTATCCACAAACTTGCTTCTTATGTTTAGATTGTACGGTTAAAAGTAGGCAGTGAAATTACAGGATAAGAAGAATCATATTTGATTTTGATTTTGAAGCGGTCCTTAGTAGTAATGTAGTTGAGTTCTAATGGAAACTTTATGGATAACGCCATATGAATTTGCCACGATGGACTGACTGCTCTAGCTTCATTATTCTAATTCTATCATTCATAACTGGTGGTGAGCAACATATATCGTTAGCTCAGGCAGATATTCAATTTCATCAACATTTATAAAAAAAAGTATTCAAGTGTCAACATACGATAGACACAATTTTGGATATACCTTTGTATTATAATTATATGTAATATATTTATAACTATAAATAAATAAGAAATATTCTATATAAACTTTTGGTATTACTGAAAGGGTATAAGAAATCTCTAATCCAGTGCTAGTATTCATGTAATTGAAAATTTCCCCAAGGAACGTTGGTCGAAGGTCGAAATATAAAAATATTATAGCAACTTTTCTTACAACATTTTTTTGGATAGACAACTGTTGACTCTATAATAAATATTGGCAATCAGAAGATTATTATTGAAGCTAAAGTATTAAATACCCTGAGGACATTTTCATCCTGTCGAAACGGGAATATAAATTGGTAAAACATTTTATAATAATCGTTAGGTTAAGGTTTTTATAAATTTCGTCACACTTTAAGGTGAGCATAAGGTAGGGTTGACAAAGTGTGACGTTGTGTGACAAGAGGCGGAGTTCCAAAATTGCGTGTGTCATATTTCAAAATACTACATACACTTAGTATTAACTGAAAACACGAAATTAGATTTATTAACGAAAACAGTTCAATTTAAATAATATGTGAAGCCTCACTAGGAGGTAACAAGGACGGGTGACTTATGAATGGCTCCTAACCATTATTTAACGACTTTGAATAACACAAAGTTACTTTTAACAACTATTACTCGCGACTCTGTCAGTACAATTTGGCTATATTTTTTTTATGTTTTAATTCCGTCAATTGTAAAACATTTAAAAAAAAAATGCGTGTTATCGCGTTACTACATATATATTACGCCTCCAATACCACTCATACGTTCCTATACCAGAGGAATAAGACCTAATCTGCACTCTACGACCAAAACACAGCTTGCAAATCAATCTGTTCGCCGCAAGCCGCATGAAAGTGAGAGTGAATTAACTGAGATTCGCATAGTGGTATTTTTACAGTCTACCTCTAGAAATTATATCTTTAAATTCCTACATTAAATCTATGCTTACCAAATGCTCTGGGCGTACTACTAGCAGAGCAGTAGCCGTCGTCTCGTACACTGCGGGCGCCAGGAGTTCCACTGTTGCCGCTCGTGCCCCGACTGAGAAGCGCTGGACTGGCGCGCTGCTCTTCGTAAGAAGGTGCTGTATGGGTCACCACCCCGCCTCCGCTGAGAGATGCCTGGGTATAAAATTAATTTTAAACTATTGTAAATTTGGAAAGAAAATCTTACTGAATTTTGGACACATTGGGCCAGAGCTTCATAACTCAAGGTTTTAACGGCAGAGCTCTTCTTTTGATTATTGTTAATCAAATAAACGTTACAACAACAAAATATATTACGAACGATACTCGGTTTCATAGATCAGTAACCTACAATCTCATTGGCGACGGATGACAGTTTTTTTACGAGTGATCCTAAATGACCAAGAGCTGACCAATTATTGATAAAGTGTGGTACGTAAATGTGTGGGACTCCCCAATTCAAATGAGAGGACACCCAGATAAGATTAAACATAAATTTACATCAAAGATCAAAAAACATTTAATAACAACTACCCTTTAATTATTATAGGATATGTAATCGATGTCATTATATTCGGTTTGTACTATATTTACAAAAAGGAGTTTAGTTTTTATTGTACATGCTCTACTTAGTATAAATCTAGATGGCGTTCTGTAAATTACTAATTACTAGGGATAACCTTCTTTATTTATTACTATATTTTAAAATTATAATTCTACTAACCATAATAGGTACTTTACTATCATGATATACATCGCTGTCATAGTTCAGCCTCGCTCTGTTGGCCGGTACAGAGATATCTGCCTTGTCCACTCCTCCCCCATTGTGATCCTATGAATAATAAGAAATTACAGGATAAGAAGCGTGACATCTTAGTCCTATGGAATGACAACGAATGAGTCGTATCACGGATGTCACATGATAACGTGATCTACGGACATCACGTTATCAAGTGATATCCGTGATACAACTCGTGCGTTGTCATTTCAGAGGACTAAGATGTCTTGCCTCTTGTTATGCCAGCTGATCATGTCTTGCCTCTTGTTACCTCTTACCATAAGGTAGCCCGTCAGTTTATTTGCCATCACAATTACATAAAAAACAATAATCTATGGACTTGGTGGTATAGTTATTTTATAGAATCACTTGCTTTGATTTTTTTTTAATGGGTGGTGATAGAAAAGTCCATCCGCTTGCGATAACAGTATACGCTGGCGGGGCACCGTTTGATTGGATGAGCCTAAGGATTAAGGACAGGTCAGGTAACCAATCATGGAGAATTCACCAATAATTAACGATTATTAATCCTAGGTGTAATGCTTTACTAACAAAGGGCTACTAGTCCCTTTTCGCTCAATAGTCAATAAATAATTGTATGAAAATACGCAAATAAAAACCTTTTGTGCTTCTTAATATTAGAATATATAGTATATTATCATATCTTATCGGTGATATTCAACGGTCGCGGTGGCCTAGCAGTTTAACACACCGCCTTACTGCCGACGGTCGCGGGTTCGATTCCCCGCACAACACAAACATTGTATCTTGAATACAATGTTTGGGTTGTGCGGGGTTTGTACTCTTGAAGTATGATTGTTTCTGTCGTTCTCAGTGTTTTCTATGTATAATATGTATGTATTTACAAAAAATATATATAGCAATGTATTTGTATCAGTTATCTAGTACCCATAACACAAGCTTTAGCTAGCTTAACTTGGGTGTAGATAGCGATGTGTGAATTGTCCTGAGATTATTATTATTATTATATTATTCTGTTAAATAATGTGAGAAACACAAGCAAATGATGAGTTTAAATTAACATGGTTTTGTCTATTCAGGTTTTGCTTTTATTATACTGTCTTTGTTCTTTCAGACTAAATCCAACGTAATACTATTCATAATGGAATGAGGGTTAAGACCATAGTGTACATAATAGTAGAATCTCGTTATTATTATACTGGTATAAATGTAGAGAAAACTCCGCATGTAACGCGTAATTAATAAAATATTATTATTTATAAAAGAAATACGAAATTAATATGACGATTGTCATTTCCAGACCCTTTATCTTTCTTCTCATAAAAAGGTAAAGGGATATATTATAATATAAATGAATAGAATTTTGGATTAATTAATAAACATTAAACAATATTACACAGTTAATGTTCAGGTATGTTTTTAATAGCACATATTTTTTTAACTAAAACAACATAACTTCAGCACTGTAGTGAACTCCTTGATATATTTGTATATTATTTCTAAATTGAGAGTAAAAGTAAGAGCTATATAACATAAATATCATCTACTATGTACCAGTTTTGTAACCAATAAATTTCTTCATTTCAGCTGCACTCGCCCACTATCGTTTATTGTAAAGGCCAGCTGCGGCCATTAGAATAATTAAAAAAAAACACATACAGACAGACACACTTTAATGTTGGTAATATTAGTAGTGATCAAGATGAGACATACCTGTGGCCTGTGGGGTGAGGAGCCGCGCCGGGAACCGCTGCTCGACGACCTGTTGCTTGCTTCTGAAACAACGTTCAAATATAAGACAATACTTAAGTTGAAGATTTACTTGAAGACATTATTAGTGATACAATCAATAATGAATTTTTGTGGTCAATTTAAGACCTTGTTTTATGGGTACTGATGGTCGGTGATACTTTGATCGGTGATATAAATACTTAAATATTTTTTTGTATATGCATATGTATGTATTTTTTGTATATGTATAGAAAACACCCAGACTGATGCAAAAACGAACACACTACGAATATAAATATTTGTACCGTGCGAGGAATCGAACCCGCTGCCATCGGAACCATCGAGGAAAGAGGTGTGCTGGACTACAGAACCCACAGTTTATTATAAATACATATGCAAACCATCATAATCTGAAACTGGATTCATGAAATTTGTTTTGGAGATAAAATAAAAACTTATTACTAGAAGTTTATCACTGCAGTGTTTGCAGAGTTTACTATCGTTATACTTAGACATAAATAAGCTGTACTATATTATATTATATCAATTAATTAGACATGAGTGATTTTATATGGTATCAAATGAAAAAAGAAACTGAATATGCTATACTGGACTATAGGGGGATGCCTAAACAAACAGTACGTCAGGCACTTCACAATATCCAATATAGGAGACCCGCCCACTGCAATGACTGCGTATATATTGCATACATATACAATAATATACATACATACACATATACATTCATACACATTGAACTATATTTGTATACAACTATACTTGTATCTTTACGTATAATCCATAAAATAGTAATTATGCGTGTCTATTTATTTCTGAAAAATTACTATTAATTTTACAGCGAATATGTTGTTAATAGAGCAAACATAAAATATCTTTATTTTGGCTTTATTTAACAACATATTCGCTGAAAATTGTACAGATTTTATAAAGAGATAAATTTTGTGAGCTTATTATTATTATAGATACTGGCTCTACTAAACCAATTTTGAACATACTTACACCAATAGAAAACCACGTTTTTTGTGATTGTCATTAGCTTGTACATTAATTCGAAAAATGTAAAGGCTTTTGCATGATAAAAACAAAAATGTTTCTAACGAAAACTCTAGAGAAAATGCTTGATAAAGCCTACAGTAAAGTCAGTGACTTTTAGATTTCTTTTGGTAGTCAGGAAATAAATCATAGCACTCAGTACTAACCGAACCACAATCATAATTTCATCACAAGTAAAAATGTTTACCGCCCAACAAAGTGAGAAAAGGGTAAGCTGGTCATAAATAAATGTACAACTGTACGTATTCGGAGGCGCCACTAGACTTGAAATATTTTTTCTCTGCCTTTTTGTATACGGTTTATTAATAAAACATTTATCTATTAATGTTCTATTACGAAATTCTCACAGCATTTGATTTTCATAACTCGTTATCTACTATAACACGCATGTATTATACATATAAACCTTCCTTTTCAATCACTCTATCTGTTGCTGAAAACTGCATTAAAATCCGTTGCGTAACTTAAAAGATATAAGCGAACACACTGCAGCGGTGACTTTGTTTTATACTATATAAAGATTTGGAATATATAAAAACAAAAATAGAAGAACTATTTTTATTTTAATTAATGATTTTAATTTCCTACGGATAATCAGAAAGAAATATTGAGTTTTTCTGAAAAATTATTTTTAGAGATATGCTCGCTTTTGTACTTCTCATTTATTTAATTATTCTTAATTTATGTAACTTTTCCTGTGTAAATTAAAAAATAAAAAAATTAGGTAATACTAGAATTTTTGAGGCCAATATATTGGAAAACAAAACCATAACTGTTACCTCATTAAAATTAATTTATACACAATAACTGCATTCGCATTTCACCTGTCACCGCCAGCCTCTAGATAATCACAAACACAAAACTTACGCAGGTATTAGTTTATAGTCGGAAGGTAGGATACATTTCTGTGCATTATGCAATTGTTTAAAGTATTTAAATTATCTATTTTCATTTCTCTATTTATCGACTCACGTATCTATTTCTTCTAAACCCGGAACGAATTTAGATTTTATCTATATTATATACATACAAGTTATACGGCCTACGTCATACTTACTATATATCCATAAGTAGATCGAGATAGGATGGCACTAAAATTACAAAGGAGTAAAATTTGTAAATTTCTATGTTCGGGGAAATCTGCATACTACTGAACCCACTTCAAAAATTATTTTAGCTTATTTATCAAGGATGGCTCTAGGCCTCTATAATATCATGCTACGATGAATAGGAGCGGAACTGCAATAAAAAATATTGCTAAAACATTACGCGGGTTGGCTAGTTATTAACATAAAAAATAACCTAAATTCATAAACAACAACACAATGGAAGTATAGTGAATAACCTTTTATTAAGTTTATGAGAATATTAAACAGCAGAGGAAAAAATAACGAAAAACAACGACTTTTCTTTATAAATATCTACTATTTATACATATGTAAGTTAGTAGACAAGTTTATTTAACTGCAGTTTCTGTTTTCATTCTAAAACTGCGCAATAAATGGAGTACCTAAGTGGTACGACCATTAATCTTTTAGTACGTCTTCAGAATACTTATTCAGCTAAAGTATTTCTATTGAATTTTTAAATGGTATTCTGGTCAACCTCCTGTTTTCAGTAACGCCAGTCCTTAATAAAAACTTGTTGTTGAAAGACATTGATATATTAAATACAAGCAATTGATGATCTTCCTAAATATGGCAGTTCATTTAACATGGCATTGCGCATTCGCCTGCGTCATTAGTCCGGTAAAGCAACAAAAGCTTGCTACGATTAAACATCAATAGCACAGTTCTTGGTAAAGGTCTTACTACCGACGCGATGATAGCACCGTCTTAGTATTGTAACATCACATATACTAACTGTATACGCTGGCGGGGCAACAGAACAGAATAATGGTAGGATGAGTATTATCTCAAATAGCCCGTCGTGGTGAATTTATCATAAAATAAGGAGCGTTTAAAGGTAACATTGGTAGTAATTCAACTACTAGGTACTTACTAACTTACTAACTTAACTTAACTTACTACGTATTCTCTCTCTCTCTTATTCTTTATTCTCTGGTATCACGTTGATAGTCTCTGAAGTTTTTCTCTTGTATCGTTTTTGTACCAATATTTAGCTACATTTCTACTATATTGTAATTTACATTTTACTTTAATAGATACTTATACAATTGCCCCCTATAGACGACATTCTACATTTTAACTATGTCACAATGGTCTTTGAGGTTGAGAGTCAATATGTCCCACGTATTAACATCTATTTACTTTTAGACATTCGCGGCAACTCTACGAAATGGGTCGGGGAGTTTCAGTGGGTACATGTGCCCCCGGCATCAGCGACCATCATTTCAAGTTTATTGACATTGTAACAAATCATGACTTTACAAGGATGTTTTATATTTAATAATAAAATAAAAATAAGGATAACAGATTAAAATTATTTAAGACAATATCTTAATTAATATTAGAACATTAATTGGGCCCAAGTTAGTATTAAAATATAAATTTAATTTTAGAATATAACTAGTCTGTTTCATGTATTAGATATATCATTTATTAACCACAGATCATAATAATATATAAATAAAAAATATATCTTTTTTACTTGGATTAACCAAGTATTTCTTTATTAAGACAATATTAAACCAGTGCTACACTATTATGTAATACTTACCAAAGGAAGACTACTTATAAAGACAAATGTCAATCAAAAGTTTTTTTTTATTATTCTAATGTTGTTGGCCTTAGCTTGTTTTTACAGCTTTACTAGACAAAAATGGCACTCAAAAAACTTCCAATGTAGCTGAAGGCCAACTCCTACCTGACGGATACTACTTTAAGGCACCGCTAGGGGTACGAACCTCGGCCTAGGGCGTCGGAATTTCAAGCGTGATTTACTTAATGATATCGAGTCTTAGGACTACTAATTCCGACACCCTGGGCCGAAGTTCGTGCCCCTAGCCTAAGTTGTATCCGTACATTTTTTACTTAAATAAACTATGAAAATTACTTAAACATTAAAAACATTATTTATTATTAATTGTTTGTTGTATTACTCGTATGTACAGATAGGTGTGACTGACTGAACACAGTCCTGCATACGCTTTTGAAGCGTACGTGTAAAGGCGTTAAACCATGCGTTAAAATCTCTTCATTACACGCACGTTTCTGTTATAAACGAATATATTTACCTCGGCCGTCGCGAAACTCCCCGGCGCCGACACTGTTACCCAGAATGGGCATTCCCGCCATACCGACTGCTACTCTCGCCACTTCTTCATACTGTGAGATCTGTTTCAACAAGATGGCATATTAACATGCAATTTATTTAAATATATGAGGCTTAGAAAATTCCGTAAACATGCCGGAGGAGCTGCAGAAACAGATCAGCCCTAACTGCATCTTACATACATTGTTTTTCTTTTATTTCTTAATTTATTTAAAGACTTCCATCATTATTTTGGTACGTCAGTATCATTGTACCTTAATTAACAATAACAATCAAAAAATTATAAAAATAATATTAAACTTGTTATTGTGTGATTATTTATTTAAAATAACATTTACTCAAAAGTTTAACACACAAGTTTCTTGTTCATTTCCCTTGTGAGTTTCGTTCCGAATGAGCGGTAGAATAAAAAACTATTCAAAAGAGCTTCTATTGAGTTTATTTGAATATAGAATATTTATATTATTAATTTTAATAGTTTTCATTTTACCACCGCCTTAGTCATAGGTTCCGTTACTACAATAAGTAACATGCCTATAAAATTCTGTTACTACAATATAAAATATTATTGTGGTATTATAAAATTAAAAGAACAGTATCAAAACTGATGTTTGCTCCTGGCTATATTAGACATACTACATATTAAGACAACATACAATTTGGTCGGTTAATGTTCTTAATTTAAATAATATATATAAGAAAAAAGAAAGTTTGGATGCGTCATCTGCCTCCGAAAAATATAAAACCGTTGCGTGTTAGTCTCTATAGTATAAATAATGTAAACACGAAGAAAATTCGTGATGTTGAACCATGCGAAAAATGTCGCAAACAACAGGGTCATTGTTCGTAGAATATTGATACTCTGGAGATTCTCTCTCCATAGTTATGCATTTATATTCTTACACTATGTGGCGTTTTATATTTATTTTATTCATTACGGTAATTATTAATTATTTCTTTTTATATTAATGATTATTTGTTTTCTTGTTATCAGTAAGTAAGTTCTTAAATTAAACGATGTACCTAATATTAGACAAAACTGAATGAATTTTGTCGGTATCGGTATTTTGACGGTTTACTTTTTAGAATAAAACTAACCTATATTCTTTATTTTTTATGTTTCATTATAAAAAGTAAACCGTCAATAGGGTTTCTTGCCCATTTTCTTAGTATTACAGTATTCCTATAGTAGGTATTAAAGTTTTCTTAATATAAACAAACAACCAACGATCACAAATGGCGCCTCGTTCTTGTACTCTTCAATTAAATAAAATCGAATTCGAATGCAAGGAATCAAATTCATGTTCGAATAAAATAACACGGCACCATTAAATGTCCACGGCGTAGGCACCCTGTAGTAGGGATGCCACCAGTACAAGGAAAAATCTCTTACAAATTAGAGGTTTTAGCTCTTAGTTACGAGTATGTTTCCACCCTCCTTATATCTATCTATCTTCATATCTTGTACAGACTTGTAGTCTGTACTAGATATTGATCTACGACAATCAATCAAAATATAATGTATGAAGTTTGAGAGACTAATTGAGCTAAGGTACGAAGTTTTATAATATTTTTTTTACTTCTTCGTATAAAGCTATTTTAAAGTTGGCAACCCTGGCTTGTACCTATATAGAATTTCATAGTGTCTGAGGTTTTATTATGCCAATTTGTAACGAAAAGGGTTATGGACTGTTCAGACATTTCAGGTATATGATAGAATCTAAATACACTTACTACAGATTATAATTACACAATACTCACGCTTTGAAGATCCTCTCCTATTAATGCTGTATGTATACTTACAAATTTCGATATTAGATAATTATGTTACACATAGATCTAACTTTATATGTATTTTTTTAGATTTTCTTTTATGTAATAGAAGAAACTTAAATACTAATTTCGCTCACGTCACTCACTCAGTTTGTCTTATGGTAGACTGGTAGAGAAAGCCATTTGGTATTAAGTTCTATATTATATTTTAATAATAATAACTCCAGTGAAATCATACAACGTCATCTATGTCCTAAGCTAAGCAGAACTTATATAATGGGTGCTAGACAGCGAATAATAAATACATTTCTTTTTTTTAAATACATATGTAGTTATAATAGATATAGAAAAAAAACCTAAAAATATAAACATACATACTTATGGGACACAGTTTCCTAAATACATCAATATAATAATTGCAATCAATTATAGCTAGTAAGACAAACTTAATATTGTAATACTAAGCACTACCGTGTCTATACTGTGTTACATTTTACATTTTGCTAATGTTATTTAATATATAAGATCAATATTTTTATGTACATATTGTCAGTCAATTATCATATGTAATATACATCCATCGGAAACGGACAACAGCGTATCATACCCAGCATTATTATACAGTATTAATGATACTGTATAATAATGCTGGGTATGATACGACAGCAACAATACTCTTGAATATAAATGTTTGTACCGTGCGAGGAATCAAACCCGCGACCATCGGAAGTAAGCCGGTATGCTAAACCGCTAGACCACCGAAGCCGAAAACAAATGTCAAACAAGAGATCATTATTTTTTATAACGGCAGCGTAATTTGTTTTGCACTACTCAAATTGCACAAAATGCTTCACAAAGACCTCCCCAGACGCCTTCACAAGGTCGTTGCTCGCACTTCAAGCGTAACTTTTATTTTCCATTACAAAGTGAACAAGTATTTCACAACAAAAGCACCTTTTATCCTCTTGTTTTTATATGAATATCATTTGTATTTAATATTTTAATAATTTTCTCTGGATTAACAGTCCTAAACACAAATTAAATTGTAAATATCTAACTAAACTTCGTAGATGGAAGGAGTTTGTAATTAATTCATATTTTACACTACTCTTTTTAGTTTTATGATGCTAATATTGTAGTGTGGTGGTATGACCTCTCTACTGTAGCGTTATGTATGATGTGATGGGTCGCTACTTAATATATTGTTTATTGTAGTAAATATGTCGGTAGTGAGTATAGCACAGAAATAATTGTACTATTTATTGTACATTAGTAAATTTCTCCGTACCACCCGCCAGAAACTGAAATACCATCCTGATCATCTGGATGAATGGCGGTCTTCCACAGAGCGGTTTTCTAGAAACTTTTTGCCACTCACAACCACATTGTGGAATCACCTTCCAGCAATGGTATTTCCGAAGCGATACGATATTGAAACCTTCAAGAAAAGCGCGTATTCCTTTTTAAAAGGCCGACAACGTACTTGCTATTCCCCTGGTGTTGCGGGTGCTCATGGGCGGCGGTAATCACTTACCATCAGGTGAGCCGCATGCTCGTTTGTCCCCTGTGTTACAAAAAAAATATTTGGTAGTTTCCTACATGGCTTATTAGTAACGCGTACATTTGACGCGGAGTCGATACGTGAACTGTTTTTACATTTAACTTAAATCTAAGTTATCTGGAGAGATATTAATGGAAGGGTCTCAAGTGTTGACGGAAATATTACAAGTGTAGCACAATATAAAGACGACTTGTACGACTGGTAAACTGTCTTTTTTATTATTTTGTTATAAAATCGTCAACCGTTTACAGTTTTCGCCTGTTCTAATGCTATTGGCTGTAACTGATGTTTACATAATGAGATGGGGATTGTCGATGATCCGAATGCTGTAACGTCTCCACCTATGGCTATTATTAACAAAATATCAGACGGAAAGTTAGCTTAAAAATATTATAAGTAATTATTTGCGTCGAATCAAAAATGCATGACAAATAAGTTTAAAAGAACAAGTTCTATGATATTGGACAATAAATTACACACTCAATATAACACTACATTAACTCAAAGAATATAAATTATGAAATATCTACTCTAAAGTTTTGATTTTCAAAATCAAGTTCCAATAATTTGTATTTTGTAAGTCATTGCAGTATACTATTTAGAAACTAGGAATACTGTGAGTGCTGTGTGAGCGATCTTTCGATGGACAATCTGGTTATGGTAGTTGAACAAACAGCAAACATCTACGAATATTGACATCTCTGTACTCCAAACAGAACGTCCTTATGGTTAGTGTAATTTAAGTCAATATGTCGAGATATTTATATACTTCAATATTAAATATTCAAGGTAAGACCTATCTATATTTATAAGGAAGATTTGTTCCCCGAATGCGTAGTTTTATTTCACTATCTAGAATGACAAACAGGTTAAAGCTCACCTGATAGTAAAAGGTATCCGTCGCCTACATGCATGAACAATACTACTGACATCACGTTATCATGTGACACCCGTTACTACTCATCCACTGCCTTTCTTCTGAACTATGCTGTGATGGCCTCTTGTCTTGTAATTTCATTGCCTAATCTGCTCCCTACTTATAATATAAAAAACTAGCTGTGCCTGCGGTTTCAACCGCATGAAATTTTTAGCCTCTGAGTTATTCTGGTGTAGAAGATACTGCTTCACCAAAATCTGTTCTGTAGTTTTTGCGCGAAAGAGTAACAAACATCTATCTGCCCATCCACACTCACAAACTTTCGCGTTTATAATATTAGTAACAAGTTGAAGAGAGGTCCGCTAGCAGAATTTGTCACTTTGTACAAAGTATATCTGACACAATCGAGTATATATTCTGTTATTAGTAGACAATATGGCGCGTGTGAAGGCCATATAATTATTCAGGGACAGGCAGTAATAACGTTTAAATCTAAAGCTACGAGTATAACGAGCCCTCACGGGACCTCTCACTTAGCGAGCAATCAATTATGTTCACACCCCTGCAGGGTTGATACCACTTATCATATTATTAATATATAATAATATAATAATCTCAGGACAATTCACACAGCGCCATCTAGACCTAAGTTAAGCTAGCTAGAGCTTGCGTTAAGGGTACTAGATAACTAATACAAATACATAGATACTGTTTGGTAAATACATACATATTATACATAGAAAATATCTAGACCGATAAAACAATCATACTCATGAATACAAACGAGGAATCGAACCCACGACTATCGGGAGTAAGGCGATATGCTAAACGACTAGATCACTGAG